GTTTTGAAGGAGCCGACCTTGGGATGATGTAGTGACGAGGGGGGAGGGGGGAAGACCGTTGGAACCCACATCAAGCACCTAGGCTACCTGACCGCTACTACCCCGTCTGTTTCATTCCTTGCTGTAGCGCCTTTCCAACTCTCTCCCCATCCCATCCCATCCCATCCCATCCCATCCCATCCCATCCCATCCCATCCCATCCCATCCCATCCCATCCCATCCCATCCCATCCCATCCCATCCCATCCCATCCCATCCCATCCCATCCCATCCCATCCCATCCCATCCCATCCCATCCCATCCCATCCCATCCCGCCCCAGCCCACCTCCAGCGGCTTGGCCATGAAGTACCCCAGCACCGCCCGCAGCACCGCCTGGTGCCCCACCACCACAATACACTCCTTCTCCCGCTCCATCTCGATGATGACGGGCTCCAGCCGCTGAATCACGTCTAGATAGGACTCACCCGCGGGGTAACTGGGAAGGGGGAGGAGTGCCGTACAGTGCCGTACACAGTACGGTGAGAAAATAGGACATAATTACGTGGAAGGGAAGGAAAAGCAATACAGGAAGAAAAGGAACAGAAAAGTGCGCTTTCAAGCGTTGCTCAAGGGGGTGGTGGTAGTGGTGATGGGGGAGGGGAAGACGTACATACATGCAAACGAAGTAATAAAGAAGCGATAAGGCCCTTCACATGTTTACTTCACGGGAGGTTGATGGAGACCTCTCCTCACTGCGACGCAACTGCTACAACTGCTGCTACCACTGCGGCTACCACTGGCAGTAGCACACATAAGTCGCCACACCGCCTCCGCCTCCACCCAGCCACCCACCGGTATCGCAGTTTGTCTTTCTGCCGCGCTGCAAACTCCTCGGGGAAGCGTTGTTCGATTTCCTCGTAGGTCAGCCCGTCACATGCGCCTGTGTGCGTGTGTATGTGTGTATGTGTATGTGCATGGGAAGGCCGGGGCGGGGGGGAAGGCCGGGGATAAGGCCAGGGGGGAGAGAGGGGGAGAGATCAAACGGTGCAACGAAGCAAAAGGGGGGGGGTTAACTGCATCGACTCATGTCCATGTCACTGCTGGGGGGGGTGTCAGTGGCGGCGGAAAGGGACACGAAATACTCTATGGCAAATGTCGATTACCCCATGTCGTACTTCCTCAGTCGTACCTCCCCTCTTTCCCCCCCGGCCCCCAAACCTACTACTTCCCCCCACACGCACCCGCCTGGATCTCGTCTAGCGCCTTCCACCGAAGTTTCGGGAAGGGCAGGTATCGCGCAGTCTGTATTGTACGACACAATGTGGAGGTCCACACCGACACGGGCACGCAGGTTTGGTCGTCCTCGTGCTGCGTCGTGCGGGGCAAGTGGGGGGACGGGGAGGGGGAGGGGGAGGGGAGGGAGGGGGAGCTTGGGTTCGTGCTTGGGTATGTCATAGCACGCATGGAGAGAAGGGTGAGGAGGGGGCTGGCATGACACCAAGGCCGTGTTACGAGGAAGAGGTAGAGGGATGTTAAAACCAGCAAAGCGCCACGGACCCCCCCCGGGTCCTGTTACTGATGTCACCATTTCCTGGGGTATATGGTGCCAGTCGAGTCACTTTCCAACACAGCCGCCCGGAAGGGACGCGGCTGGGTCCCACCACTGTGGCCAGCCCAGCCCCTTACTCCGAGACGAATGTGGCCTGATCCCTTCGTGAAGCTCGTGAAAACCTTTGAGCTGCATTTTCAGTGTTCCCCTCACCTCACACACACACACACACACATACCACACACACGCACCCTTCCATCCTGATCAACTAAACGTGCCAGCTCCTGGTTCTTTCCCCCACATACACATACACACACACGCGCACATCTCCCTCCCCCTCCCCCCCCTCCCCCTCACCAGGGGCAATCGGTCGAGCAGCATCTCCGGCAGGCACCTGGCGTACACCTCGCCGGCGGGGGACAGCGGCGAGTTGCCCCCGATGCGGTGCTTCAGGTTGTACTCCGACTCGCCTAAATGTGCGGGGAAGGGGGAGGGGGAGAGGGAGGGGAAGGGGGGGGGATTCTGCCGGGGTGCGAGGTCATAGGACTGTGTGTTTGTGTGTACAGCAAGAAAGAATGTGTGAAGTGAGATGCCGTGGGGTGGAGGCGGGGGACCGCGGCCGTTGGGGAAGGACATATCGACCCCTCCCTCCGCTTAACACAAGAGTCCGAAAGCAAGCTGACTCGTCCACAACTCGTGAACCTGCCCCACAGCCTGACCTGGGTCAATGGGGGCTGCAATGTGTGTGTGTGTGTCTCTCTGTCTGTCTGTCTGTCTGTCTGTCTGTCTGTCTGCAAGTATGTACGTATGCTACTTGGACAGCAGCTCCCGCCTTCCAATCCCCCCCATCCCCTCCACCCCCCACTAATAACTCGCCATGACGGGTCAGCCAGATACGACGGGCCTGCGCCATGCCCGCCTTGCACACCTGGGGGCGCCAGGACCAGGACCAGGAGGGGGAGGGGGAGGGAGCAGGGGGAGGGGAGGAACGATGTCGTACTACTGTTGTTTGGTTGTGGGTCAGGGTCGGACGGGCTCCAGGGAGGAGGACTACCCAATACACATTGCCCCACCCCGTGCCATACTGTGTCATCATGTGTATGCCGTACATCCGTATATTGCCCCCCTCAACCCTGCACGGCCTAATCCCCAACCCTGAACCCCCGCAACTCTACAACACGGCTGCAACCCAATACACATGTCACACATTTTACACGCGCGCACGTGTCCAGATGCCGTACACACGCACCTGCATGAGGAAGAACACAATTTTGCCGGGCAGGTAGCCACTGATCCGGTTCAGGTCCATGTGCCCGCGACCCGTCACCCTGGGGACGCAGTTGGGGGTTTGGGGGGGGGATACGGGGGGTTTGGGGGTTTGGAGCCAAACACGCCAAACAAAGAGGAAAGGACCCCAACTGCCGAACCCCCCCCCGGTCCTTTTGAATTTCAAAAACTGCTAGATTCCAAACGATGACGTAACCGGTAACTGCCGGCAGGTGAGCTGAACTACAAGAGCTCCCCCGTCCCGTTTCATGAGCCCAGTCTCACGGAAGGGAGTTAGAACTTCTTCGACCGTCTCCCCGCCGCTATCCAAGAATTCCTCTTCAGCGGTCCAGGTAGGCTCTCCCCCTCCCCCTAAATCCCCCCGCCTCGCCGCCACCAGGTCCCCCCGCCGCCGCGCACATGTCAATGAGCTTGATGTAGTGCAGATTGCGGTCGTTTATGGGTTCGTACACCTCCTCGTACTTGTGAATGCGCTCCTTGAAGTCGGAGAGGGACTGTTGAAGGAATACACACACATATACATACATACACACACATGCCGTGATCAGAATTCCGTTACTTGTGGTTCAAATTAGTTTGGTGAAATGCTATAACGAGAGTCCTCCCGAGCGTACTCATTAGGGGTATATTGAGTTTACGAAGACCGACCCATGCCCTCCGGTTCTATTATATCCAAGGTTGCAATAGGCGGGCGGTGGCCCAAATGCTTCACAAATGCACAAATTACAAGCTCCCGAAAAAAGCCGCCACAGCCGACGCAGCCGACGCACACAAAAAAAATACTTCAACACATACATACAAACATGCACAAAGATACGCACTTCCCCCCCCACACACACCTGCTGCATGTCCATGCCCCGGTAGTCGGGACTGTACTGCATCTTGAAGCGGTAGTTCTGTTCTAGGACCTGTCGTACACAGTACACCACGTTCGGAGGATATTACGACGGGATCCAACAGCAGCGGCAGCGTTGCCGATATTGGCAGCAACCCGCCGTCGGGCAAAGGGCTCTAGCAGTGATGCTGCACCGCAGTTCGGTGTTGATTTCCATGTGTGTGTCTGTACGTCTGTGTGTGTGTACGTGTGCGTATTTTGTGCCGTGCGCATACCCGAATCCGTCTGCGTCCGTTTCCCCCCCCCTGGGGCTGCAGTGAAGGACTCCTCAAATCAAGACCTCCTCACCACCAACACACACACACACACACATCCACACCCACCTTTTCATCGGTGCAAATGGACTCGATGAACAGGTACTGGAACCGGCCATGAAAATGTTTAATCTGCGGACCGGAGGGTTGTGTACGGCACACCGGCAGCAGCATCAGTAGTAGCACTGACAGCATCCGCAGAAAAAAAAGAGGTGACTTGGTGAAAAATACTGTGTTTCGGTGTAGCTGCTCAATCCGCTAATAAGCCACGATCCCCAAAAGAAACCTCAACCAGACGCACACACATAGGCCCCACTCGCCCCCAGCCCAAGGTTTATCCTTTTTTCCCCCTGTCTACTGCTAGGCCTGAGAGCTCTCCCTCCCTCCGCGCCCCCAATCCACCTCTTGCACCCCCCTCCCCCTCCCCCTCCCCCCAAATCTACACACGGGTCCAGGTCCAGGACGCACCAGCAGCTTCCGGCGCTCCACTGTGGTGTTGGTCGCGTCGAAAATGGCCACCTGCCCAATCTCTGCGCGAGGACATCCACCACCACCACCCGAAAAGCCGCGAGTTAGGGCAAAGCTCTTTGCAAAAGCCGCAGCCTTAGGCAACAACATCAACATTTCACTGAATAAATTAAAATTCTAAATTTAATTTTAATTCTTACGATATATATTTTTATTGATCTTAATGGGCTATCAGCGGTTATGGGACCTGGGTGTGGCGGCGGACTCTTGGGGGGGGCGCTGCAGCCTGACATTGGAGCGAGAGGGGCGGGAGGGGCGGCGGTGGGCGGCGGAGGGCACCGGGGGCAAGACGAACCACGAACGAGTGAAGCTGCTGCCAGGGCAAGAGTGTACCAGACGTAGAACTGACCGAAGGGCGCCACCGAGGACCTGGCGGCCGCACCTGAGTAGAGGTACGCCTTCAGGTGATCCAGCGCCGCATACAACGCGCGATTGCGGGCCTCTATCCCCGCCTGCAAGGGTGGTAAGGTGGTGCAGAGCCCCGGAGGGGGCCCCCAAGGGAAGGGGTAGAACGTCAGACAATGGCTTCTAAACCCGCCGTTCCCCAACACCACAGACCGAATGATCAGACTCTATAACGGACAGAGGGGAAAAGCGAACATAAAGACATAAGCACCTTAGCAAAGGGAAAGGGAAACAAACATGGTCACTCGTGCACGCTTAGACAGCGGCCCTTAGCGCCTCGCTGCCGCGAACCAGAGCGCTAAGGGCCGAATCAACAGCTCCTCCTCCTCCCCCCCTAGGTCGCGAAATCCTGTGAAGCCGTGTGTCCCAGGCAGCTCCTGATGGCGCCAAATGACGACCACGTCGTCAAAACCCCCTTCCGGAAAGCCCACTTGGAAAGCACTCTGCCATTTACGGGGAAGCGTACATCTCCCACACCCATCTACGCCACATCATCGCATTCCTCCGCGCTGTGTTTTTCCACATTCGTCGGCCTTACCGGAGCTTCTTTCCCGGCCTAACCGAATAACGACCCGACCCACCCACCGAATTGTGGGCGTCAAAAAAGTCGGCGTTCTGCACCTCGTGATCGCCCTTCTGCAGGCGGCGGTAGCTCCCCACGTTGAAGTGCCGCGTGTGGTGGCCCAACCTGACTTAGGCAGGGCAGCGGAATGAGGGAGTGCGAGGACGGGCACACTGGAGGTGTGGGGAGTGCTGGCATGCCATCGTAGCGGGTGATACGATCCAGTGAAGGGGCTGCCAGGGCGCGGGAGGGGGGGAGAGATGAGGGCGCTACTGGAGCATGAAGAACGGGGTTGGCTGCGAGCTGGCTTTGAAGGGGCCCGGCCCAGAGTGATCTAGCACAGCCGGTACGCTGAGGCGCGTTGGTGAAGGCCGAAGGGGAAGAAGTGGCGCTGGGATGGGGGGGGAAAGACGAACCACACGCGATTGAAGCTGCTGGGGGGGGGGGTAGCTGGATGGGGGGGGGTAGCCGAAGCCAAATGGGGAGGTAGTGCGAAACGGGCCTCTGCGGTGCGGGGTGCGGATGGAGGGCAACTAGGCAGCAATTGGCAGGCTCTGGAAGCGGGATAGGGGGTTTGCTGCCCTGGCCCGCGTAACGCACACTCAGGATGCAAGCTTACCAGTTCAGGTAACATTTGATTTTGTTGCACAAGAATGTCTTGCCTCTCCCGGGCAGTCCGACAAGTATGATGACATACTTGGTACGGTGGGGAACTTTCGGCGGCTTGAGAAGGATGGCAGCTGTAGAACGGTTGCAAGGCACAGGGTTTCGTGAACGTGTCACATGCGAAAGAAACCATGTGTCGATATGATTTAAAGTTGCACGCTGTACGCACCCTTGTTTGTGGAGTCCTCGCTATGCCGGTCGTCCTCATTTATGTCACCATCCGTTAGCTCCAACGCCTCGGGCCCTATAGATATATCCTTAAAAGTTACCGTTGCACTATGAATCCTGCCAAGTGGTGTTGATGCCTCATTCACTGGGGACTGGGTGCCGTCTAGCTTAGGCCTTTGGAAGCCCAAAGAACTGCGGGAACGCCATATCTCATACATGATTCACTTTAGAGCTCGGTAACGCGCCCGAAATTTTACAAATCATTAACAGTTTGCAGGCATCCGAAAGAAGCTTCCGTTTAGAAACGCTTGGAAGAGGTCGTAAGAGTGAAAAACGCAGGCAGTTATGCAGTCTTATAAAGATTTAAATATGTCCTCTCGCTCACATCAATCAATAGAAGTTACGGAATAAGCGGACTTCGACAGTTTGGCGTACACAGTTGCTACCGAATCTTTATGACGAGTGATGCAGAGAACACACTCAATCGTTTAGGCTTGACGCGCCTTGAACTTATTTCAACGCACCTTTACCTGCGCTGCTGTGTCACCGCCAATGCGCGCCGCGGAGAGCAGGTGTATCCTACACCGTGGTCAAGGGAACCGGTATAAGTTCCAAGAGAACTGTAAATTTCAAGGTTAAGCATTCTTTGAAATTATGAGGCCGCACACGCACCGCCTCTTGAAGAGTTCTTAACCTTCAGTTGAACTGATTCCCACGGTTACCAAGAAACTTGCTGAGTCGGCAGTAACACCAGATTGCATACGTGTCATTTTTCTAAGATGAACTCCCTCAAAGCTTGTTGAAAACTTTGGAAGCAAGTCCAGCTGCTAGGCCCTTAGCTAGGATACCGGAAGAAGAATACGGCCCCATCTAATGCGGAGCCTGCTGAAAGCGTCTCTGGTTAGACGTTAATCGCTGTGCACGACATGCTCTTTCGTGAAGGATTCTTTCATGGCCTCTATGAAACGCACCAGATAGATACATCATCAACCGAGTGGGAATATTGCTTAATTCCTCTAAACATCCGGATGTGGTTTATTTACTATTAACAAAATATGTCTATCAACGACCTCCACCTGCACCTACGCAGTCCATGCAAAGCAATCCACACAAGACACCCAAACAGAAGCTGAGCACCACTTCGGCTAAAGAGCCCATCGTCCCTCTGGCATGCAAGAAGAGATTAATCTACAAAACATAAACTATATCATCATCATCATCATATGGCCGTAACCCAGATTGCGGATGCGTTTATGGGAACCTGCAGCTCGACTTAGTCAGCTGCTCCCACACACCAGGGAGCTCCAACACCCCACAGCCTCCACCCTGCACGGCCCAAATCGCCCCAATCTGCTGACCGACCTGTCCGGTCCTCCAGCATCTCCTCCGAAAACCTGCCCTAAAAAAGATGATGCGCTCTCCGCGAACCTTAAAAGTCACTCCGCCGCTGTCGCCGCCAAGATTTCGGTAGGGCACTTCAAATCTCGAGTGCCACTCCGTCTCTCAATTCCCTCCCTCATTTACACATACACAGCCACCCGCACAGCAATGAACCCTCGTGCACAAATAGGCCCCCTCGCGAATTTCCTCTTCAGCTTCATGCAAGGGCGCCACTAGCTATTATGACTTGGTGAACAAGCAAAAAAATTGGAAAACCCTTCAGGCCCGTTTAACACTCACACTCCCTTTAGTCCAAACATGGCCAAAACAGGCAACAACGCAGCGGGGAGAGCCAATCCTCCCCGGAGCAGGCAGCAGCCGCAACCCCCCTACCCGCCGTAACATGACGCCCCGATGGTACGACTGTACGAATCAAAAGAGCTCCTCTCCATCGCCTCACGCCAGAAGATGCTGATGGTGGTGGGGCACGTGATGGCTGCAACGTGCTCAGGATGAGGCACAACGTTACGTACACCGTCGCCCCATCACACCGCAACTCCATACTCAAATGCACGCCGCCGTACGACACCGTACACGAGCTCCATAGCGGTTGTCATGAGCCCCCCTGCCGCTAGAGGTTCCAAAAGGAGGTCACAAGGGAGGGCCAGCTAGCGCCAGCCCGCACATGCCCCCTCGAGACACGTGTCCAACCTGCCGTGTCTAAAACGCGCCCGGCCCCAAGGCGGCGTATTCCCCAGCCGCTGTTGACAAAAGGGCAGGTAAGCGCCGCTACCGATCCAACTGCGCCGGCAGTCGAATGGGCCTGCCCGCCCGCCCGCCCGGCCAGTCTCCCCCCCCCCGGTGCTGTCACGCCGCCGCCCCCGCCCCCACCGCCGCCCCAGCCGTCAGTAGTCCTCCCCGCGCGACAGCACCTCCTTGCGGGTCGGGTGCAGGTACAGGGTGTGCTCGAACTGCGCCACGTAGGAGCCCTTGGCGTCACAGAGCGGCGGGTACGGGTCCACCACACCTGCGGGCGCCGCGGGGGAGGTGGGGATCATACGGTGCTGGTGGTGGTGGTGGTGGTGGTGATGGTGGTGGTGGTGGTGGTGGTGGTGATGGTGGTGATGGTGGTGGTGGTGCAAGAGGGATCAAACCCTACATCCCGGTGACCTGGCAGGAGGTCAGCTGGCCTCAGCGAGGAAGCGGTACGACAGGGGCTACGGAGCAATCAACGACTACGCTCAACAGCTCTCCCCCTTTCGCGGTGGCGGCGGCGAGGGAAGTGGGTCGACGAAGTGGGTCGACCTCATAATGGAGGAGGGGAAGGGGGGAGGAGATGGGAGCCTCCCGCACATCCACACGCCTCTAGATGCCCCCTAACCCCCACCACCACCCCCTGGCCACCTCCCATACCTCCCACCCACCTCCAACCCCCCACCCCACCCTCACCGGCGTCGCACAAGTTCTTGAGCGCCATCAGGTATTTGTCCTCCCCCAGCCGATCGAGGTACCGCCTGCCGTGTATGCATGTGTGTGGGGGGGGGGAGAGGGAGGGGGGTACGACAAAGAACAGACGATTGACCAGAAGAAAATATCAAAGACGGGGGGTTGTGGCGTGCGTGTGCGTGTGCGGTGTGTCTGTGTGTGTGTATGTGCGGAGGGAATCATATCATCAACACAAGCAGCAAAGGCTCCAGATGCGCAGCGGGTCAACAGCTGCAGCGACTCCCTCTCCCAATACCCGCACAGCACACCGAGGTGCAGCACTGTTATCAACAAGTGGCCGGGCCGGCGAGTGTTGTTGCCTGGTTAGGATCTAGGGTGCCGTGTGGGTGGGTGCGCTTGCGCAGGGGCAGGAAGGGGCAGGAAGGAGCAGGAAGGGGCGGGAATGGGGCAGGAAGGGGCGGGAATGGGGCAGGAAGGGGCGGGAATGGGGCAGGAAGGGGCGGGAATGGGGCAGGAAGGGGCGGGAATGGGGCAGGAAGGGGCAGGAAGGGGGAGGGGAGATACTCCTATTCCCACTCCCGTTACTCCTAACACTGCTATTACTCGTACTCCTACTACTTAGCGACGAGCTTGTCACTGCCGCCAAGAATTAACCCCCCCCACACACACACACCCCGCACAACCGCCCACTCATACACCTCACCATCTTAGCCAGCCCCCTCCCTCCTCCCTCCCAGTTCTACGCCTGGTACACTCTTGCCCTGGCAGCAGCTACACTCGTTTGTGGTTCGTCTTTCCCCCTCCCCCCCCCTCCCCCTCATCGCAACCCCCTCACCGGCAGAAGGCCAGTGTTCCAAAGTTCTTGTCAATGGTCGCCAGCAGCTGCTTGGCCCGGGGCAGGCGGAGGGGCACGTGCCCGGCATCGAAGTTCTTCATGTAGTGGGAGCACTCCAGGTCCTGGAGGGGAAGGGGGGAGGGGGGGAGTGGTGAGGATGGGCCAGGTCAAGGAGGGAAACCCGCCGGCGTGTCATTAAGTCGCAAATAGGGGGTTGGGCGGAGATGGATCCGGCGGGAGAGTAACATCGCATGGAGGGGGGGGAGGGGAAGGAAGTCGTGCAGGTGAGTAATTAGGATGAAGTGTGGCCGGCTGGCTGGCTGGTGGCTGGGTGGGTGGGTGGGTGGCTGGGTGGGTGAGTGGCTGGGTGGGTGGCTTGTATAACCAACCATGTGTACTTGACCCCAACTGGACCGTCCTGGGAAAGAGACCCGCTCAGCGCGGGGAGGGATGTGGTCAGTGTGGAGGGATCACATGGCCGTACATGAGGCGAATGGCCCGGAAGGCAGCTAGCCACTGTGTACACTCGCTCGCTTCATAAGGCCCACATGGGCCCCCAGGTCCTCCCAAGGGACCCCCAAAAGGCAGCCCCCCCTTCCCCCCACCTCTCGAACGTAGCCCTTGCCGGTGGTTCCAAACGTCTCAATGGCGAAGAACTCCCCCTCCTCCATGCGGGTGGCCTCACCGCCCTGACGGGAAGGGGTATGGGGGGCCCGGGGTTGGCAACTACGGGTGCGGGATGTGCTTGTGTGTGTGTAGGGGAGGGTGAGAGGGAGAGTATGGGGGGGGGTGAGGGTGTGAGGGGGGGCCCGGGGAAGGGGGAAATCATGTGCCAAGGCGGGTGTGTTTGGGAGGGAAGGGGTGCGACGAAGTACAGGCGTCAAAGGGGCAAGGGGGAGTTTGAATGGGTGAGATGGGTGAATGGGATAACCCATACCGTGGCCCTCCCCACACAACCACCTTCCTTTCGGACCCCAACTTCCTTCGCGTTCTGGGGCCCCCTGCGTCTGGCCATCCCCAAAACCGCACACCAACTTCCTAAACCCCAAACTCCCCCCCTCTAAAACACACACACACACACACACACAACCCCTCGCCGCTTCCTTCTCCCGGGTCAGCTCTTTACTTGCGCAACCCACATATACATACAGACGCATGCACGGTAAGTATGTCCCTGTACCACCTTCGCCATTTCTCTCATCACGGTTCAGATCACATAAACACATACACACAACCCCCCCCCCGGCCCCGCCACATACCCTCACGATAGGGACACTCTTCCCCGCATGAATCTGGTAGGGCCCTATGGAGTGACCGTTGAGGTTGCGCACGCACTTGACCTGGTATGTACGACCGTCCAAATCCACCTCGTACGACTCCATAACCTATAATGCGCGCGTGTGGCGCGGGAAAATGGCGCAGGGAACGAATACTTTTTCGGAGGAGACGTAGGAGGCGTCGTGTGTGTGTATGAGGCGGCGGAGTGGCGAGCTGAGCTGCGAAAAACACATCGGTGCCTTCCCTGGACAGATGCTGCTGTCTGCAGGGGCGCCGCAACTGACTGAAGTGGGCTCTTAGAGGACGGGGTGTTTAAAAGTTGAAAATCCAGGCATTCAAAAATTAGCCGCAGCACAATCAAACGTGTTGGTTATAAATGTAAATGTAACCCTAGGCGATCCTTTGTACGGCATATTCGTACGTGCATCGGCGCGACCGCGTGCATATACTGCTATGTTCCCCCACAGAAGCGCACCTCCTGCACCGCCTCGCCCACATCGCATAGCCGCACATCAACTCCTGCCGTTTTGACGCCCGTGTTCGTGGCGTCTTTGACGGCCGCGACGAGCGGGTCGAACTTAGGGTTGAAATGCACGGTGAATGCCGAGTCGATGATCCGGCCGCCCACATGTGTCCCGAAGTCAATTTTCATAACATCGTCGTACTGGAGCACCGTCTTGTCGCCACCATTAGGCGTCCAGTGGGCGGCGACGTAATTGAGCGAGCAGCCCGTTGGAAAGGCGATGCCCTGCTCCAGGCCGTTGACCTCGATGAGATTGCGCACCATATCCTCCAGCTGCTCGCACATGTCGAAGAGGCGGATGCCTGGCTTGATGACCGTCATCATGTGCTTGCGCACCTGCCGATGAACCTCGGCTGCCCGGCGGACCTCATTGAGCATGTCCCAATTCAGCCTCTCTAACTCGCGCTTCTCGGCGCTGGTCTCCCGCCAAAGGTTATCGTCCTTGTAGCTTTGCCACTCTCCCTCGGGATATTTGCCGTCCGGAAAGAGTAACCGAACTGGGATGCTGGGTGGGCTTGTCTGAACCAACTTCTCGCCGGGACGAGCCGATGCGCTTGGCGCCGCCCCGTTAATAGAAGCCGTGCTGTCTGGAATGGCAGCCGAAGCCTTCTTCTTAGACTTCTTCTTCTTTTTCTTCTTCTTCCCCTCGCCGCCCGCACCGCCCGCGTCGCCAGCTCCGTCCGCTCCCTCGTCATCTCCCGAGCCGCCGTCGTCGTCCTCGTTGTCCACTGCTTGCTCTGAAGGGCCTGCCGGTTCGGCGGCTGTAGGATGCGCTCCGTTGCTTACTTCTTCCGGCACCTGCCCCGACTCGGCTTTCTGTTGTTCCGCCTTCTTCGCCTTCGCCTTGAGCTTCTTTAGCTGGCCTTTGCTCAGTCCGGATGGATTTGAGGAGTCAGAAATATCATCTTTCTCTTCCGCTAAATCTAGGGCGGCCAAAGCCGGCTCTAGTACCTCAGCCTTGTGCTGGGCCGGGCTCATCCTTGTACCGGTTAATTAAGAACAAGGGAACGCGGAAAACGCCTTTGGCACAGCCAGCAAAAAACGCAAAATAAGCTTTCTATGCGCGGTTTAGCCAAGGGACCGTATGTCGTTAGACTAACAGAACCGCGCAAGGCCCCTGCGCAATTCACACTGTAACTCATTCTAACGCTAACTAGATATTTAACTGATATCTATATCTATTTATTACACTCCAGAATCACCATGTGGGCTCACAAGCACGCGTCCGCGGGGAACGCAGCACAACACCTCCGTTCGCGCCCGAAAATCTTGTTGCCAAATGCCTGCCGCTGCCGGCGACTACATACCAACTTCCTAGCCTCAGCGGCGCAAACGAAGAACTCGGCTACGACTACACGACACGCGTGGGGCGAACCTATTCTTATCGCCGGTGGTGGCATTGCTGGTCTGGCCACAGCCTTGGCGCTCAGCAAGGTATCAGGTTCCCAGGGAAAATCTCAAATCTATTAGCCCAACTAGCGACATTATTATACATACTAGCAGTGAAAGTAACATTAAACGGTTACACCTGGGTTCAAAGCTAAGGATGGCCCCGCTGCGCCACACTTGAATTTACTCACTTCTGTCCAAACACTTTCCACTATCCCACACGCCCTCCTTTTTTCCACCTTCTCCCGACCTCGTGCCTCCCTCTTTCCCGGTTTTCCTTCGTGGCGGTCTGCGCTTCGATGCGGTGGCGGTTGTGTTGGTTGTGGTCGTTACGTCCAGAGGGGCCTCCCGGTGCGTGTATTCGAGTCCGGCCCGGGTCTCCGCCGCGAGGGCGCCGCGCTCTCCTTGTGGGCCAATGCGTGGCGGGCGCTGGATGCACTGGGGGTAGGGGAGGAGCTCAGAAGGGGCCACGTGCTGCTGATACGGTGAGTTTTGAGGGGGCATTGGGGGGTACGGGCCGGGGGGGTTGGACTTGGACCCTTCCCCCCGCCTCCTCCCCCCCCCCCACACACACACATACACTCGCTCGCACAGACTGGGGCTGCATTGCCCGGCCCCCTGACCCCTCCTTTTGAAGGGAAAATGGCAGTTAGTGTGTTTTTGGTCGTTGGCAGTTGTTGCAGTGTTATGCTGTTGTTTCGTCGTCATTATTGTTTTATCAGTAAATTCTCTCCCTCCCGCCCTCGCCCCTGATGTATTAGCCCCTCTCCCGTCCCCCCCCTCCTCCTCCTCCTCCTCCTCCTCCTCCTCCACCGCCGCCTTGCAAATGGTGGCGGCGCAGAGTTGAGTTGTGTTCGTCTGGAGGTGAGCTGCTCCGCGCCTTTGACCTGAGCGAGTGTGACGTGGGGCCGGAGAATTGCGAAACACGGGGCCTTATGAGGTCCACCCTGCTACAGGTGCGTACGTATGTCTGTATGTGTGTATTTTTAATGTAAGGGGGCGATAGAGGGGGAGAGAGTTTGGAGGCAGGAGTGCTAGATGGCTGAGGAGGGGTGAGGGTTTTAGGGTTTAGGGCGGGTTTTAGGGGTTTTGGAGGGTTTTCTAGGTGGATGGGTTTGGTGAGGGTGAGGGTAGTTGAGGAATTAGTTGCTCTAACAGACGGAGGTTAAGAACAACAGGAGGATTTGGAAAAACACAAAACACAGAATCTGACTGTAGTTAACTGTGTTGTCATCCTAAGCACCGATGTCCCAAAAAGCAAGTGGCCATTGCCCAACCCCATCACAATGGCATAGTCGGTGCCAAGTTGAGCACCGCGACCGCTGCGCCCACATCTTGCAAACGCGTGCAATAGGGCGCCTTTCATCAACTTCCTGGCTCTGTACGACACGCCCACTACACTTGTACGGCAGGCATTGTACGACAACTTACCGGACCGCGAGGCCGTTGTTGAGTTTGGGACAACAGTTCGGGAGGTGCTGACACCGCAGGCGGGAGATGGGCAGGGTCCTATCGCCGTACGGCTAAGCGATGGTCGTATTGTGTACGGCAGCGTGCTGATTGGATCGGATGGTGTGGGTAGTGAAGTGGCTCGGTACCTGCAGCTCCCCAGTGCCAGGTGGGGGGAGGGGGGAGGGGGCGTGTGAGCCTGGGTTTGGGTTTTGTTGCGGTCAAAGAATGCCAGCGGTTTGCATATCGGTATGTATGTATGTACGTACAGAAAGCTCGGGCGGGCGTGGCAAAGATGTTAGGGACCATTGGAATGTGTTTCAGAGCGACCACCAGGAGTGCCGTACCATGCTCTCCGGGCTTCAAGGTCTTTGTTTCCAGGAGCCCCTCCCCCCCCTCCAACCCCCCCTCCCCCTCCCCCTCCCCCCCCAGCTACCGAGAATCACTTGTGGGGTGGTTGCGTCATCGCTTAGAGACGCCGCTAGCACCGGTACCCGTACCCGTACCTGCACCCGTACCCGTTACTCGTACCCGTACCTGCACCCGTACCTGTATGTCGGTCTCTTTCATACCTAGGTAATTCCGTACCCAGCCTACACGACCTGCCGTGTGTTTTCTCCTTCTCCCCCTCCCAAACCCCCTCCCCCCCTCCCCCTGGGAGCTCAATGTCCCTCGGCGAGAAGGTACTCGGGCTATTGCGCCTATCGGGGAGTGGCGACATTTCCAGATCCTGGTCCTTGGGATCTAGATTCGGGAGCGGCGGGGGCGGCGCGGGAACCTGAATCTGGATCTGGATCTGGTCCCGGCGGCCTTTCGTTCAACACGATTCGTCAGATTTGGGGTGCGGGAGTTCGCGCGGGGATGTACCCGATCACCCGCAACTCAGTTTACTGGTTCACCTGCTACAATGAGACTGAGCGAGGTGGGCGAGGGAATATGTGTAACGTTCAGGTTCCCACTTCATAGCGTCCTTCATATGCTCGAAGCATGGGAAATCCATATCAGATCTGATTTTGTCGTACACCGGACAGTCCAGCAAAATGTGCTTCTCATCCTCGATATGGCTATCAGTGCCGCAGCAGTGGCATACCCGCTCCTCCCTAGGTATATAACGCCGTCCCTTGCGCGCTCTGTTAGCCGCCAATGCCCAACAGCAAAGCCTAAACTGCATAAGTGTATATGTGGCATCTGCCTGCCCCTTCCCCTCTCTACTGCGCATGATGCTGTACTGCCGTACCGTCGTACTGCCCTCTATAGCTGCATCGCAGCCGCCAGCAAGTCCCGAAGACAGGCGCCGCGCCGCGCTCGAGTCGGTTGCCGGCTGGAATCCCTCTAACGGTATCCGTACAGCCATTGCGGCCACAAGCCCGGAGGACATTACGTGGAGCCGTATTTCGGACCGGTGAGCACCCGCCCGTGCGCCGTACTGCTCGCCCTCACGCGGGGCTTGGGGCTTGACGAGACCCCTTCAGTTACTTTGGTTTATTGGTTTCTAGTGACTGACCGTTATGGGGTTTGTACGGCGCCGTAAAACACAGGTGGACTGTTGGCGCCTTCGGGCGGGGGTTGGTGACGCTGGTGGGGGATGCCGCGCACCCCATGACCCCCAATCTTGGTCAAGGAGGCTGTACGGCACTGGAGGATGCCGTACAGCTGGCTCGACGTCTTGGAGCGCTGGCGAAGGGCGCTGGTGAGCGAGAGGACGCTCCGCTTGGTTCGGGTCGAACGATGTGTGTGTATGTATGTTTATACAGCTCTGGCATTTCCTTTGTGCGAATGATAGTAGGGGATTTTGTGGCTGTGACCAATCATCTGATGCTGCCTATCCGTATGTATGTCCAGACAAGCATCGGTGCAATGGCACGCGAGCTTCACTCTTCGCCCCCTTGGGTCCCCACAGGCGGTGCGTTGACTCGGCCGTGTCGTTTCCAACCCCACCCCACCCCACCCCACCCCACCCCACCCCACCCCACCCCACCCCACCCCACCCCACCCAAACCCCACCCCACCCCACCCCACCCAAACCCCACCCCACCCCACCCCACCACCATGCGACCAACAGCTACGGGCTCAAGCCCGCTCTCACCAGCTGACGTGGCCTCAGCCCTCCGGTCGTACGAGTATGAACGATCGTCCCGCTGCCTGCCGATTGCCGTACGGTCCAACCTGATGGGTACAGCGCTCCAAAACCCCCTGCCACCTGTAGTTCTCGCCCGTAACGCCTTCGTACGACTTGCCTTTTCGCCGGGACATTTCTTGGATCATACACTGTACGACTGCGGCCGACTGGACGAGCTGCAATAACCTCGTACTGGATGGGTGGGTGGATCTTCCGGCCCCCGGTTCGGCTCGGCAGCTCGTGTCCGCAGCGCTGTGCATTTTTCACGTTTCCGCGCTCGATAGGGGCGGCGCTCCTTTTAGTGCGGAACCTGGCAGCAGCTGATCGGATGGCCTTGTCGTACAACTGTCAACTAACTGATTCCTCCTCATCCAGCCACTCCATCAGCATTTGACAGCAGCAACAGAGGACCATATCCTCTTTGATTGTTCTTTTGGTTTTTATTGACGTTGTTGCGGTTGCAGAGGCGATAGCTGCAAATTGAGCGGCGTGGGCGCACACGGGGTTCTACTTTTCTCTTCGGTAGTAGTGACCCGTGGGTCAGAGGCTGCGTCCTGAAGAGGCTCGGAGCCCGCGGCCAGGCCTGAACCGGCCGTGCGGCGCATGCTGTGATCCTTGCCAGCCTTCCTCTCGTCATGCCATCCCGTGCAGTTAAGTCGAAATCTGGATTTGGCTGTCTCAATCCCTTCCTTCACTCGAATAGAGAAGTCCGTTTGGATTTGGGCATGCACGAAGTACCTAGTCGCACATAATCGGCTCATTCTTTAATTCCGTGTCGGAGTTTTTAAATCTGCAAACAAGCATACTCGCTTCCTGCGCTCTAGACGCACCCGCCGAACAAGTACTGCGGCCTTATGTGCGGCAGCGTGCCGTAGTATCTGGCTCCTAACCCGGCCAGGTGCACACGACTTTGCAATCACTAGGGCTCATAATGCAAGTCGTGTAAGCTGCCAAATGCTTTTGCTTCCATGAAGTCTATGTGGTGGTGTAATCCCCACACCCGGCACTGGGTGGTGGGTGATGGCCCCGGCCTCTATCGTCACAATGGGCAATTCTATGTCATATGATTTCACATTTTTTGCCAAAATCTTTTATACTATAAAAACAGGATGCGCTGCAATAATCTGCGCGGGAAATGACCGAGATACGTGCCGGACAGAGTGGGCATAGTTTGCGAAGAGGTTCTCTGCCCGGTCTGTAGTTACGACCGCAGTCTCCTTCCTCTGCTGTTCCTACCTCTTTCCAGGCGACATAGCACAGAGCTTTGTTCATTCACTTAAAGCCAACTTCAAACTCACCTTCTGTCGTTACACTGTAAAAAGGACGGAGAGTCAACTCGTAGCCGTGATGTTGAAATCCCTACTTAAGCCAGTCAGTCAGGCAGGCAGGCAGGGTCGTCAAGCCCCAATCCAAACGGACTTCAACACTCTTCAAAGTGACTGAAGAAGTGATATTGTGCTGGTACGACTGATAATGGAGAAGTTTATTTGCACTAAACTGCTGTGTGTACGACACCATTGAGTGCCACCGTGTTACACCTACTAGCTTGCCTGGTAGAGGTTCTAGAGCTGCGGTTACGGCTACGGGGCGTGTGGCGGGCCATCACGGGGTGCAGGGGATGAGACGTCCGAGGGCGGAAGTGGGAAGTGGGAAGGAGGGGCCCTCCAATGGTGCGCTGTTGAGGGGTTTAGTAACCAGCAGCAGCACTAGTGCTGCATGGTGGTGGTGGTGGTGGTGGTGGTCGTGGTCGTGGTCGTGGTGGTGGTGGTGGTCGTGGTCGTGGTCGTGGTCGTGGTCGTGGTCGTGGTCGTGGTCGTGGTCGTGGTCGTGGTCGTGGTCGTGGTTGTGGTCGTGGTCGTGGTCGTGGTCGTGGTCGTGGTCGCGGTCGTGAGCCGGTGCAGAAGGGGGTGTGGGGGGGTTAGGAGGCCAACTCCCTTTGGCGCGTCCTTTTTAGGATATGAGATTTTTTCGTCGAACGTTTTTGTCGGAAACTGTAACACCCCCTCGAGGTGAGGGGGCCGTCGAAAGTGTTACAGCGTACCTCGTACCAACTGGATCGATTAGGTGGGATAGGTGGGAAGGCTAACGGCTATTGTCTGTTGGTCTGCGGTATGACCGTACGTACGTACTTTTTTTATCACTTCACTTTTCGTAAAGCGAACCCTTACATTCTTGTGGGTGACGTGTGTTGTGCTGCTTTCTCGGACTCGTTAACTGCCGGACGAGAGTGCTGAGTTGATACTCAGACATCAACGGAGTGGTGCCGTAGTAAATATTGCAGCCGTGAATGGGTTGTCTACCCGACCCGCATCATGCTCCGACCCACAAAAGCGCACGGTGAGCGCACATTTTACGCATACTCTCATGTTACCTGTTTCCTTAAGTCGATTTCATCACACGACGATACTTTATTTGTTATAAAATGCTGTCTGTCGGTTCAGCTCTGCCGGGTAAACCAGGACAAGAGACCTCGCTCTTCCAGTATCTGTTTCGGCCTACGTGTTCTCCGTCGACCATTAAACACCTAAAACCCCTAAAACCTTAAAAACCAAATCAAATCACTTAATGAAATTTAGTCCCGCGATTACTCGAGGGGGTATTTGGGTGAAAGGGCATCAGTGCAACGCCAACAATGGGAACCAATAGTCGAAATCACCTCCACCTCCACCTCCACCTCAAACTGAGTACTTAGTGCCCACCCGCCGCAGCCAACCCAGATCCGCTGGATCCACGTGACCGTGCCGTACAGAGCTGTCCAGCGGAAGGCCACCGCCAACCAAGCCGAGGCCCCGGCCGCGGCGGCGGCAGCTGGGGTGGCTGCCGCGACAGGCCGTCGCAGTGCGCCAATGCCAGCGGCGGCGGCAGCGGCGGCGGCGGCGGCGGCAAATGATGTAGCTGTCTTGTCAAAGCATCGCGGGGCTCTGGAATATCATCGTGATGATCCCATCGGCCCGTTGCGGCAGCAGCTATGGGTGATGCAGCTGCAGCGGCGGCGGCAGCGGCGGCGGCGGCGGTGGTGGTGGTGGTGGTGGTGGCCACGGCCAGGGACCTGCTCCATGCATGTGTCTGCGTCCGGCAGGTTGGAGCAGTGGTCGCGGCGGCGGCGGCGGCGGCGGCGGCGGCAATCAAAGACCTCCCTTGCTGCTGCCGCGGGGCCCCCCCAGGTTGCGCTACCATACTGGCCACGTGACTGATGGTTTTCATGGCCGAGGGGTTGCCACGACTCACAATTTGCTGCTGCTCGCCAGCTCCGACCTGGTCAACAGCGGCTGCCGTACCCGCCCTCAAGGCATGTGACCCTTGGCCCTCGCGCACCTCCTGCTGAAGCTGAAGCTGCTGCTCCCGTTCATTTGCATGTAAATAATGCTTCTGCATCACAACAGGAAAAACAACCATGCATGTTCAAAACCTGGTATAGGAAAACGGCTTTTGGCAGCTGTTACATGTACACGCAGTTGTTGCGGGTGGGCGGCGTGGCAGCAAGGTGGTGGGTGAGTGGCCGCCAAGAACGGGGACCCGTCCTGTTTAGGACACGGATCGGGAACAGTACGACATGCGGATCTGGTCTGCGTTTTAGGGAAAAGGATTTGTGTTCTAGGCCGCAAGCCACTTATTGCGTTATAATCCAAGGTGCACCCCGCCGACAGCCGCACAGCCGCTCGCACCCGTTCGCCCGGGAGTGACACAACAACGCCTTCTTCGCCTCTACCGGCGCCAGAACCGTTGAAATTGCTGAAGACGGCTGCGGCGACGGCTGCGGCGTTGTGAAGGGCAACGGCGGCGCCGCCGCCGTTGTGTTGCCAACCGGGCTCCGTGATCTGTGTGTCGTACACACACCGTCGCCTCTGCGACGGTGGCAGCGATGAAAACATAGGTGACCCAGGACAGCGACTGTGGAGGCGAAATCCGCGCGGAGAGCTTTCTATAGCGGTCTGTAGCGAGTACGGCTCGGCGGCGTCGGTCGCTGTGGGGTTGTCTTCTTCCTCTGCAGCTGCGGCAGCCGGCCTCGGCGATGAGCCCGCAGCTGACGTGTCCTTAGGCTGTCTCCGAAACCCTAATCTGCCGTACGACGAGTCGTAAGGGTCATCACAAGGGTTTACTGGGGAGAGTGGATACCTCTGGTCCTGGGAAGCGGAGCTGCAAGTATTTGTGCTGGCGGGCGCAAGTAACCCGGGCTGAGGCTGCTGAGGTACGAGCTCAGTATGCTCACAGTGGCTTGAACGAGGCGCGTCCGGCTCGTTGGGAGGTTTCAATTGGTCCAAAATGTTGTCCTGCATAACGTGGATAGTATGCGAGGAGGCATGCTTACGTCACAACACCAAGAGGGCGTCATGTTGCCATCCTTAACAGGCTTCGAACAAACTTACGCCTTCAATTTTATGCGTTAAAAACTTTCCTTTATACCTTCAAACCGAACAAATTAGAATACAGGGCAGCTACCTGGAGTGACGTGACCCAGTCAGGCTGAAGTGAGCCAGGGGAATTGGAGCCTTCCCGCAATTTTCCAGCTGGAAAACGAGCCATGAAGTGCGCCCGATGTACGGTCATGAGCTGCTTCACCAGTTGCTCCTGTTTTTCGAGCTCCTTGCCCAGAGTCGCGAGCTCGTCTCTGTTCAGGTTCTGCAGGTCCAAACTACCTAGGCGGAATGCGGCCAGCCCAGATAGCAACGGGATCGACTCTAAAGCAACGCTGCCTTGAGGCGTAATTCTGTAAGGTGTTAACCATGTTGAAGAGGATGGAGCTGATGCAGCCCCGGTACATGCTGCCGCGGCTGATGGTGATGTTCTACAAGTCGCCGCTGGCGCTGAAGAGCGTGGCCAGGGGTTGCTCTGACCGTTACCAAAAGCAAAATAATTACCATTTGTATCATTTGTTAAACCCCCATTGACTGACCCCTGAGACCGCTGCCCATGCTCGAGAAGGGCATCAGTTCTGTTCGCCCGGCGTCGTTTCTTCGATCCAGTATGATCCAGGAGAAGACCTCCTAAATATTGAGATTCCATTGTTGGAATCCTTGAGCTGTCAAAGGCCTTTGCGCCCAGTTGCTGCTGAACCTAGTTCTACAGCGATAGTCTGGGCCGGAGGACTGAAATACAGTGGTATCCTCTTCGCGTGTATCTGGAGCCTTTTCCACTGAAGGAAATAATAATAATAATACATTACGTTATGCAACTCTGTCACCCGCACTGAATGTATTGGTCGAGGGGGCCATGCCAGCCCGCGCCTGCCTCTCAGTACTGCGGCCAGATGTGAGCTCGCACAACAGGCGTAACGCACTCGCGATAGACAAAGCGCAAATATTATTTTAAAGTTGCGAAAATATGGATATCCAGTAAAATAAAAAAAGTGAGGTAAACTTAATTACCGTAACCATGTGACCTACCTACCTATGGGGCTGCATGCTAAGCATCGAGGTGAAGATATATTCAAGATATATTTGTAGCCCTACGCTGGTGCCTTAAACAAGAGTTTGTAAACTCGCAGCAGATCCCACGTGCACAGGCTTCAGTGTGGGCCGTTCGAATGCCTTGTACTCAAAGTAGTAAGAAACAACGCAACAATGGTGCTTCAGGGAAACACCATAAAGATAATTTAATGTTTTGACGTAATGATAATGACCTGCGCTATATGCTTGCATAGAGGTTGTCACAGAGATGCGCCCTTCAGGGTCTCCTTTGAGCCGTACTGCTTCCTTCTGACCAATACCTACAAAGAATACAAGGCGCCGCAGAGATTTTTACCCCAATTATCGGAGATGTAGGTTCATATATAAGGTATCCGCTTGCCTGGCGTTTTTAGCTTAACAACAACGTAGTACCGTATGAATCCCTCCGTAATATCGATTACAGCTGCGGTTACAGCTGCTCACCAAGTGTATATAGCTTTTCGCCTTAGGTTTCTTCATGTCCTTCAGAATCTGATTTGGTTTAAGCATCTAGGACAGAAGTCTGTTTAATTCTGTTTAGGCTCGAATACCAACTGAAAAGGAACCGGACCGCTCCTTAACGATCGGAAGCATAAGCTGACTTTACTTGCAATGTTAAAGCGTTTAAGGCAAGAGAAAAAAGTTCTTCGAGGGCAACTTAGGTTTACAGTATTCATAGAACGGTCCGCTTAAGTAGCACGCTAGCGCTCCACATCGCAAGGAACCGTACATCTCATTACTTGCTCCGCTAGCTCCGAGATTACGACAATCACTCAAACAAGACACGACAAGTTGTCAACCAATTCAAATTTCTGTTCCTGCTGGAACGAAACGAACCCAGTGCCAGTGCCGTTGCGTGAGGCTCGTTTGCGAAGCAAAACCATTGTGTGAAATAACCTGCTCCCAGGGTAATCCTCATTTGCCATTATAGCTGCTCCCTACCACAGCTCCGATACCTCAAATACTAACAGTAATCAGATAGACGTGGCGGAAACTGAAGCTGCGGACTCACAGCCGACAACCTGAAAGGATGAGGATGCTGGGGGATGCTGCCACCAGAACGTTGCACCTCCGCAGATTGGGTATACTTCATGCGAGTGCGCTGCCATTTCAACAAGCACGCAAGAAATGGAAACTATTACAAACTTTGCTGCTTGGTGCTCACTCATAAAGCATGACCCATCCGACTGCCTGTGCTCAGCACATCGACCGGACAGTCGCGAATTGGCAGTTTAGGCCATAAAACCAGAATGTGTCTCACTCCACTCTCGATTCTGTTTATTGCACGTAGGTTAAAGTGACAGAAATTTCCTTTGAATTGCGGCGCTTTATACGGTTAACAGCGTCATCAGTGCCCGTGCCTGCTGGATCGGTACGGTATGTGGCTACTGACCCACGTCCAAAAAGCTAACGCACGTGATCAATGCAATGCAAGGTCACCGATTTTACCGCACAATAATCCAAGAATGAGAATAGAAATCTATGCTGTAGGCAACAAAATGCTCGCTCGGACTTGGAAAGCGTGAATCAATAAGCCTGTTTTGGCAATGCGGCGTCCTCATTATACATACCGGAGCAGCATAACCCTGAAAAGCCTTTGGCATTCAGCAATGCGTATATCTTATGGCTATTTTACAATTGTGCAATCTCGAAACACGGTCGAACTTCCCATCTATAGCGTTTGTCCGCCCTATTATACATTTGAGCACCTGCCGGCACTCCGTTCACGTCATAAGGTGCCCATCATTACGAGACCAACACCCGAGTCATACTCCTTTCCTCCTGCCCATGGCTACGTGGGCCCTGCCCGTGCTTGTCTCTCTTCTTTACCGCCCACTGAATCGATAGCAGTAACATATTCGCACATGAGGAGGAGCCCTAGAGCTGCTGCCCAAAGCTGACCTGCTGAGGTGTAATTAGTTTTGTTCTTAGAGGTTCTTTTGGCCAGGTGCCAGGTGCTCCTCGTCCTCCCTGGAGTTGCGTTGCGACCTAATGAACACCCAAAACGAACCCTCCGGTGCCCTCCCCCCCCCGCCGGCCCTTTTTTAAATTCTGTAGTCGTACCTCAACAGCGTTTCCCGTGACACGCACTACACCGCACTACACGCATACAGCACCCACCGGGAGATGGAGTGGTGTTCGCAGCTCACGATGACGAAAGCACAAAAGCCACAGGCACATCGGCAGAAGCACGTGGACAGCTACGACACACCCCCATAGACGGACTGACAGACGGTGCGGCAAGCAGTGACAAGCGCTGCTGCGTCGGCTGACGGGAAGAGGTGCTCCCGCTTGCGCTTCAGCTGCAACAAAACACGCCCCAAAGCAACCGCAAGCGCAACGGTGCCACGACCCCATTTCCTTCACCACCAAGCAAAACCCTAAGCCCACTCTGCCACCCAGGTGCTAGACCCCCATCACCTGCCCCCCATCTTCCCCTTCCCCAGCCTTATTAAACAAGACCAAACCACCACCAAAACAGCGGGCAGTGCTCATGGTGCCCATGCGCTGTCCACCAACACCAACTAGAGGCAACCGAACCAGTCGAAAGAGATCATCGCCGTTGCATCACCTCACCTCACCTGCATGAACGCTGTCTGATCAACCTCCAGTCGTCGTGACGTCCGTCGGGAGTCTGGAGCCACCACAGCCGCTGTAACAACCACACACACACACACACAGTCGTCGCGACATCCGCCGCCACGCGCACTTCCATGCATACCATGAATGCATTTGGTGCCGATAATACTCAATAACTTCAATTTGACTTCAACGACCGGTCGTACACGTGTCATACATACCTTCACTCGCCCGCACCAAAGGAGGGCAAAAGTGAAGTCCCGTGAGCTAGGATACATGGCAGACGGACAAACCGACAGACTGATTGGCCGGCTTGCATGGTGGCATGCATGCATGCATGGATGAAAGCATTGCGGTCCGCAAAGCTCATATGAAGCAAAGTTAACCAACGCCAGCCCCGATTCATAAAAACCAGAATGGGGGCCATTAGCCCGATCATTAGCTCCTTCACCACAGCCCCTCCGCCGTCTCAAACTTGACCCTGCAGCCCCTGGTCGGTGTGGCCGCTGCAGTTGGGCTGCTGGCTGCAGCTGCAGCTGCCTGTGTCAGGGTAGCCACCGGGCGGTCCCACGCACCTGCAGCGGCCCGGGCGCTGGGGGCGCTCCTGCGGTGGCGGTGGTGGCGGTGGTGGCGGTGGTGGCGGTGGTGGCGGTGGGGGCGGTGGTGGCGGTGGTGGTGGTGGTGGCGGTGGTGGCGGTGGGGGCCGTGGTCCGGGAAAAGGGAAAAAAGGCAGGAGGGGAGGGGGAGGGCGAGGGGAGGAGGAGGCCGGGGTTGGGTTTTTTTTAGGAAATGGATCGCATTACCAACGGCACTGTTAATGGGCCCCGACACAAAGGGGCAACAGCGAAGATTGGGGACGTGGACGGGGTTCGGGCAGACTCCATCAGGCGGGAGGAGCGGTCGGTAAGTGATTGATTAAGTGGCAGAGAAAGGGGGTGACTGAAAAGTGCGTTCGGGCCCCCGGTGGATACGCCGCAAAAGGCACACGCTGCAAAAGGATGGCCAATGGTCGACGTCTCTCTGCCGGTGAAGGAGAGGCAAGGGGTGGAGGGGAGGAGGGGAGAACCTGTGGGGGGGGGAGGGGAAAGCAGTGGCCAAAAGGCTCCAAACCTAGCAGGGGAAAAGCTCGTGCCGACGTGTTTTCATTTTCAATCGTACAGTGTCCCCCACCGAAGTGGCATGGCGACCTATGGGCCGCCAGCAACGCGCTGACCGCACCTCATGCGAGTGTTGTGTGCCGGAGGCTTTGCGCCACCTCCCGGACCCGGGCTGCTATCACGGGTGCGGGGGGCGGCGCTGGAGGCGCGGGGCGCCGCGGACGGCGGCAGAGGCGCCGCCGCCGCCGCCGCCGCCATCCCCGCCGTCGAAAGACCTGTGGGTCTGTCGTACCGGAGCTCCGCCTGCAGTGCGCGCATGCGGGCCGCAATGGCGGCTTCGCTGATGGCGCGTTGCTTGTTCAGCTCAGCTAATGTGTGTCGCTTCAGCTTTTCCACCTGGGCATGGGTATCGTACATGATTCGAGGGAAGAGTACGGCAGTAGGAAGGGGGAACAGTACGGCGGTAAGAAAGGAAAGATCGCGTAGCTTTAACGCCTCTCACTTCCTCTCACTGCACCCCCACCGCCCAACAAGGGCCACCCGAACCATTTCCTGATACTCAAGCCAAGTCCTGACTGCCCGCCCCCCTCCCCTCCTCCCCCACCACCACAAGGCAATCTCCCACCCACACGTTGCGCAGCTGCACACACTTCAGGCCGCGCGTAGCGACCTTCCTCTCCCCTCCCCTTCCTATCCGCTTCATTCGCCAATGATTCATCTTACCCCTCCCCTTCCGTTTCTCTTTCGCCCTTGTGCGCTTGTCTTCTTAGTGCCTTAGCTGGCGGTTTGAAGCCCTAGAGGCCCTCCCCCATGGCTCGTATCGGGCAGCAGCTTTGCCGAGGGTGCAGGGGGGCTTTCACACACCCCTGCCTCGAGCATGCAACGCGCGCAGACACACATACACATACACATACACGCACACGCACACGCCAGCCAATCCTCCACCACCAAAACGGCCAAGTCCTGGACCCGCCGAGCCTCCCCCGACCTACTACGGCTACACGGGCGCCATCCCACCATTGTGAGCCCCACACCCCGCTACACGAGCAAGGGCTCCAGGGAGCACCAACCGGTAGCCAGACTCACGTCCAGAAGGTATTGCTGCTGCAGAGCCTCCATCTGCTGCTGGAAGCGCCGAGCCGCCTCAGCCACTCGGGTAGCCAGCCGGCTCTCCTCCGCCTCCCGCACGCGGCGGAGCTCAGCCAGGGCCCCATGGAGGGCCCTCTCACAAGCCTCAATTTCTGGATAAGGCCGCGGCAGGGAAGTAGGGGAAGTAGGGGAGGTAGGGGAGGTAGGGGGGGAGGTTCTAAGAGAGTCGTCCATAAGAGGGATGTGGATGGGGGCGTTCGTGTTAAGGATAGAAAAAATGATGACTGAGTTTGGGAGGAGGAAGGGAGAGGGAAGAGAGCAAGGGAAAGCTGGTCGCGCTGGCATCGAGCCCTGCATGTTGCGTGTGTGTGTGTGTCTCTGTGTGTGTGTGTGTTTGTGTGTCTGTGTGTGTGTCTGTGTGTGTGTCTGTGTGTGTGTCTGTGTGTGTGTCTGTGTGTGTGTATGTATGTTACATATCTTCCCGGGCCTGACTAGGGGCTGTTGCCCAGCTACCCAAACGAACAAGACCGCCGAAGCACTCCCCTTTTAAGGGGAAAGGGGAGGGGCGTGCGTCTATATGTATGTGGTAGGAGAGGCGTAGTTGCGGTGTGACGCCTGTATGGCCGAAGGAACTTTCCAACACACCCCAACATAACTATGTTCCATTCCGTCTGTCGTCATCGTCATCGTCGTCTGGCAGTCGCTGCGCCGGGTGGGCAGGTAACAGGCCGGAGATGTCGTGCACGAGGCTTGCGGGTTCTGGGGCGTGGAGCTGTTACTGCTTCTGGCATCGCGCCACACAACGGATACACAGGGACACCGTGGCAGGGACTCAACGAAGGAGTCGCGCGCGCAGGCCAGGCATTACCTCACCCACATCTACCATCAGACATGCACTTTGCAGAGGGGGCAAAGAGAGTCCGACGAACGCATCAATACACTCCGTAATAGGTGTCTGTTAGATACGTCCCCGGGATGATTTGTTTTCGTTGCCTCCTCCACCTATCCAGTGCCCTCTCGCCGATTCATGTTATCTTTCTTCAGGCCTAGACCGCGGGCAGTCCCGGCGGAATCCATTGGAACGTTGGATTTCGTGCTCCGGCCTGGTCATAACAGGTTTTCCAGCTTTCCATACACCTATCCGTACACATGTTGATTATTTTGGAATTACCAGACTATTGAGCCCGGCTTTTAGCATTAATGCGAGCAAGGGGCCTGGTGGGGCGTTCCGTTTTCCGACAGTAGCATCCATTGCAACCCCAGCACGCGTGCGGCGGGCGCACCATGATGGCGGCGGTCGACAGCGGAAGATGCTTGCTGGCGGAGAGCTTCCTCCAAGGCCCACGTGTTGAAGGGTGAGGTCAAGCCTGCACCGTCTAGCTGCGCCTCGAGGCTCCCAGGGTCCATGGCATGTGCTCCCTGTCCCAAGTGTAAAACGATAGAGCTGAAGCTTACGTCTAAAGGTCTAAGGTGCTCGAAATTGCTGACCAGCAACGCACCTTTCGGCTACGTTGGCTGAAGCCCTCATCGCCAAAATGGGGCCGGCGACCCATCCTCTTGAGTAACGAATCCGCGCCTGAGCCAGGCTCTATGTCGTCATCGCTGTATGACATGGACATTTGCAAATGCATACGCGCTACCGGCCTGCAATAATTCTGACGGTTACACCTGCCATTCTGAAGAACGAACAACAGCAAGCAAAATCTTTGGCGAGTTACATGGCGAGGTCAATCTAACCTACGCTTATGTGGTACATGATAAACTATACAAGCGCACGAGCCATATCCTTTAATGTTGACTAAACTTGGAACGCAAACCCTGCACGACAGTTTCGAACCATGCAAAACTGCAGAGTTGATGAATTCGATCCGCTTCACGCATCATTATTGTGCACAAACAAATAACCTAAGCTTTTGAATGATCCTAAGGCTTCCCAGGGCAGCCAACCCAGGACAGCAAACGTCCATGGAACAAAAAACTTGCTTAGTCTCCTTGCACCGCAACGAGCACACGGCGAAATATCCGCCGCACGGTTTCAGCGCGCCGGTCGCGGCCACCCAACGCCGCCTCGCGTCATCCACACTGTTATCCTCATCACCCCTGCCACCACAACGCTTTCACCTTACGTTCACTCCGAATCACATCACTGCCAGTCTAACAAAGACCTCGAGGCTTGCAATCGAGGCACGACATGCGCGTCATAGGACATGGGTCCTCACTGCACCGTAATCCCCGGTGCCCGCTCAAAAACATGTGACCAGCTCACGGGGCCCCCAACCAACCAACAAGTGCGCTTGCACACACGCGCGCATGTATCACGTCCCCTCCTGAAGCAGTAGCACCAGCATCAGCAACAACAGTCAGCGTCGCAAACCACCACCACCCCGACACCTCTCGATAGGGGATCCTGTCCTAACTAAATCCACGTCGTCTACATCGTACAGCCCCCGGCTACCTTCAGGCTCCAAATCATATCCACCTGCGCACCACAAACCGCTCCATCAAACCAGCACTGTGTCCTAATACACGGCTGGGGCCAGCTGCACGCCGTCTCCAGCGCTACCCCGCCGGATGAATCGACCAGCAGCTGCCCGTTAACCAGCAATGCCAAGCTGTACGTGCCTCTGTCATGCAAAGGTCTTGAATGGCCCCCAGGGTGACGGACGGCCACTCGACCAGCTGCAAAGCCACGCAGCCGAGCAGTCAGTCCAGAGCATCACAACACAGTCTGCCGCCCCTAAATGTTCCCTTCCTTCACCACACCATATCATAATCCTTTACCCATTTACCGCATTCGAGAGCAGAATCAGCAGCCAGCCTGCCTGCCTGCCCAGCGCATCAAAGCACTATGCGCATGAACAACTCCCAATAGCAGCACCAGCTCAAGCTCAAGCTGAAACTTGCCAATTTGTCAGTTGAGAACACAGTCAAATCACACTCACCCTAAGCTTTGGAATTGACGTAGCTTTTCCCTACTGGTGAAAGCAGGGGCCCCCACCCGCTCTACCCGCGGCATCCGGCCTCCCCCTCCTCCTCCTCCCCACTCCCCAAGTGACTACGGAGACAAAGGGTTTCCAATTCGCGCACCACCTCAAGGCACCGCACAAAGTACCAGTACCACGGTGCCCAGTCCACAGAGTGTCTACGCACCGCCCACGGAGTCCTATACAGCCCCTGGACAGCGAGCAGGAGCCAGCAGCAGCTTCTACAGCAACCTAAGTCCCCCAACGACCCTAACGCAGCAGTGAAAAGACCCCCAGCACCCTCTTCTTTCTAACCACGCAACCTCTCCCGCTCTGGACCCTGCTACGCCACCACGGCGCACAGGGAGAGAGGACTGAGAGGTAAACGGCTGATACCTGCAAAGGATCCGCATGAACAGCACCAGCACCAGCACCAGCACCAGCGCCAGCGCCAGAAACCCCTCCGGCCCCCAGCGCCGCCTCCATCCCCGCCAAGCTATCCTCGTCTATGTACCTAGTCTCCTGCCTGCCAACCAGCTAGCTCCGCCGGGGGGTGGGGTGCGCGCCTTCTGGGGGGTTGTTACCACCGCGTCCCGGAACGCCGCGTGGCTGACATGGGCCGGCCGCCTGCGCCGCCACCGCCGCCGCTGCTGGGGTGACCCACGAAGCCGCCGCCGGGGGAGGCGTTGGGATCGGGGATGTTAGGCAGCCCGTCGGCGTCGTCGGCGTCGAACCCTATCGTGGCCGTCTTGAGCGGCAAGGACCTGCGCGCCGCCGCCGACGGCAGGCGGCTGAACGCCAGCGGCGGCATCGCCATGCTAGCGCTGACGGCCGAATCCGCCGTTGACGCTGCACCGCTGCCACCGCGACGCCGCGCCGGCGCGCTCGACGGTCGCGACGTCTGACTGCCGCCACCGCCACCAGTTTCCGCGGCGGCGCCGCCGCCCATGCTCGCACCGCTCGGTTCCGCCGACGGTCCACGTGACGGCTCGCGGCTGCCATACGATGCACGCGGCCGCTGCAGCGACCGCTCCGACGGCGGGCGGTACTCCTGTCGCCCCGTCAGCCGCGGGTCGTCGCCGCTGCCGCCGCCGCCTTCGCCTGGCGACATCCCCGCCAGTAAGCTGCTCCGGTTGGACAGCTCCCGGCTGAGTACGGCACCACCGCCGTGACCTCCTTGTGTCCAGGGGTGGCTGCCATTGGAGCTGTTCTCCCGGCCGATCGGCGGCATGCTAACACTGCCGGGACTGCCCACGGCGGCGGCGCCGCCGCCGCTGGCCTCCGGGTCGATGGCGGCCAGCTTCCGGAGGTGGGGATCGTCAGAGGCGCTCGCCGACGCCACCCACGCCGCCACCGCGGGCGGCGGCGGACGGGTCTTGGATGCCGATGTGGGTCTGGAGCTGCGGGCGCTGCCGCCGCCGCTGCCGCCAGCTGCAGCGGCAGCGCTGGCGGGGCGGCTGGCGCCGGCGCCGGGAATGGCGGACACCGAGGCGGACAGAGCCGTCGCGGCGGAGCGTGGACGGGAGGATGGGCGGGATCGTGCGGCGGAGCGGGGCCGGGAGGGGGATGCGCCGCCCTGGCTCGGCGACGCCGAGGAAGCTGCTGCCGCGGCTGCCGCACCCGTTGTGGCCGCGAAAGGGGAGTTGGAGCTAGCGCTGCCGATGCGCGCCCTGGCGCTATTAGAGGGTCGCGTGAGGCGGCCCGCCGAGGAAGGGGAGGGGGAGGGGGAGGGCGGGTCGGCGGTGAGGCTACCTGGGATGGCTCGGGAGCTGCGGAGAGCGCGCCCATGGTGGAACTCGTACGTCAGCTGCTTGCCGTACGCCTGCGGGGGCAGAGTACGACAAAATGCCGCGGAGAAAAAGTGGATGGGCAGCGAGAGGTTACGTGTCCGTGTGTACAGGCATCAGAGCAGAACGACAAGAAGCTCTCATGTACACGACCATCCGTCCCTCTTTCAACCCCACCCCCACCCCCACCCCCATCCGCGTCTCCCAAACCCTTGAGTCTCTAATCCACACCACACCACACCACACACCACACCACACCACACCACATACCACACCACCACACCACGCACACATGTACTTGACTACTTGCTTTGGTGACGAGGCGCATGTTTGACTCCTTCAACCCTTAAGCCAGGCGGCTCAGATCATTTACACACGCACACACATGACCCACCTCCTCAAACGCGAGCAGCTGCTGCAGGTTGTTGTTAAGCGACTCCCGCACCGCTTCCAGTGGCCGCATGTCAATGCGGTCCGCAAATGCACGGGCGCGGCCCAGGTCCAGTCGTCGATGCACGCCCCGTGTGGCGCCCGCCACCCGTACTAACGTCTCACTCAGCGGGAAGCCCACCGCCCTCACGCGGTCCAGGCGCTTGTTTTCCTCAGTAGCCTTCATGGCCATAATCTGAAAGGAAGGTTTGAGGAGGGTTGAGGGAATCATTAACACGCGTCACGAGTATATCGGTGACACCACTCATCATAGACTTCGGGAATAGATGAAGCGTCACTTCGACTCGACACGCAGCTGGACCTAGGGGAACTTCCTTCCCGCTTAGAGGTGACGGGGGAACACACACACATACATACACGCGCGCGCTTGAATACGCAGGTAGTGCCAGTTGTCATTAAGCGTTTGGAAGGATGAGGAGGGAGAAACGTGGTTTTTTGTGGTACAGGCGACCTAGTGGTCGAACGGCGTTTGGGTCCTACGTATCCTCCGACGAACAGGCGATTTACCCAACCACACTTCTCCACACTCCACACCTTCCTCACGCCCCTTCGTCTCCCTGCTGCAGCGACGAGCGCTCTCACCGTAAAATCGTCCAGCTCGCCCGCCTCCTTCATGCGCTGGATCTGGTCGGGGTGCGATAGGATGCTGCTGCCCGGCAGACCCGGCACACCGCCGCTGCTGAAGGCGCGGTTGAACTCGTCCAGGCTGATGCGACCGTCCTGGTTCTTGTCCACGCCCTGGAACGTCAGTTTAACGGCGTCACGGCAGCGGGTCCATAAATAAACGAATGGAAGGAGGGCGGGAGGGAATGAACGAGGGAGGGAAGGAGGGAGACAAAACATGACAACACTTGGTGCGCCGCGAGGGAAGCAAAGCAGCGCGAAGGGCAGGGAGAGGGAGAGGGGGGGAGAGGAGGACCGATACCCCCCCGATGAGTTCAGCGCCAACAATTTTCAAAGCACGGCTTTGGGGGCGTTGGGCATCTCCCCCCTGGTCCCGACTCTGGGATGTCCCCTGAGTCTTCGGCTGGATTGCTGCCCTCCTCCTCCCCCTCCCCCTCCCCCTCCTCCTCCTCCTCCTCCTTCTCTCGCGGTTCTCCCCCAAACCCTAAGTCCACCCTTACCCCTCCTTTCACATCTCGGCTGAGCACTCACCTTCCAGGCGTCGAACAACAGCTGGTGCTCCGCGGGCCGCAGACCCGGGAAGAAATCCTGCAAAGGGTAACAACGGGCACGAGGAGGAGGAGGAAGCGCAGGAAGACGGTGAAGAAAAGGCCTCTAAGGACTTAAACTTGAGGAGATTTTGGACGTAAAATGATGAGATATAAAAGGAGCAGCAGGAGGGGCTGTGCCAGATGCGCAACTGGCTTTGTAGTGTTTTTTTTATATCGGTGACAAGAATGGTGTCTTCGATATGGCTTCGCACAACCTGCACATTCGTTACCTTGAGCATGGCCGACAGCTCCCGCTCGTTCCAAAAGCCATCCTGATCGTGGTCGTACTTTGCAAACATCTCCCCCAGGGTAACCTGCAGGAAGAGGGGGGTTGTGGACGGAGAGCCCGGACAGCAACGGTGTTACCAAAAGCCAAACGGATACCAACACCCCTTCAACGAGGATGAAAAAATGCATCCAAATCACACCTGTTGGGGAGGCAGAGACGGCCAAAGGCGGCAGGGTGGCCACCACGCAAACTCGGCGCCCTCTAAACGCCCGACCGCGGCAGCTCACCTCCTGGCCACTCCCTGTCCGCTAGTGTCAAGCCCCGCTGCCGCTTTATCATTCAAACCCGTCACCATGGCCACCACCTCATAGCCCCGTAAAGTTAAGAACCTGCGGTGCGGCCCCCTTTAGCAGGTCTCCCGTCCCTTCACAATTGCGCTTCCAGTCAGAGCGCGCCCCGTTGCCTCTCACACCAGACGACATACAGACATACATAGAGACACGCAGTCATACACACAGTCATACACATAGAGACACACCTTGCTCAGCAGCATCATAATGGCCATCTTGTGGAGCACGAGCTGCACCTCCAGCTTGTCGCGAAGAGACACCGAGATGCCGCCACGACCGCAGGCGCGCATCGCCGCGGCCAGATCCTGAGGCCATGACAAGACGCGGCCCAGGCAAGGAATACGAAAATAACTTACAAGACACGCGGAGGCCATGACGACGCAACAAGACAACACGCGGCAACAAGTACACAGATTGGGTTTTGAAGGACGCCCTCCAAATGAACACGCTGGCAATTAACGAATGCGTTTAGGACACAAAAACCAAAATACTACTGGGTCCCGTGCGTGTTCTCCTGCCTAGCGCCTTTCCCCGCGGTGCCCCGCGCCCGCCCAAGCACCTCCTTCCCTGCCGTGCATCCCCAGGCGTAGCGCCCATTACCGTGCCCTGCCCAGGCCAGCGCTGCTGGTCTGGTCCCTCTCGCCTACCTTGTATCGCACCAGGTTATCCCCGGTGCAGTCCAGAAGCAGCTGCACATAGCGCACGTGGGCGGGGGTGGCGTCTGGCACCAGCCTCAGGACCAGCCGGTACAGCTGCTGCCAGTCCAGCGCGTGGTCGCCGTCCTTGTCCACCTCCCGGAATACCTCCAGCAGACGGATGCGACCGGCGTTCAGGGACTCCTGGACAAGAACCAAGAGTACGAGAGAGGGATGCAGCAACGAGGGAGGTTGGGGAAGAGAAGCAACTGCCAATTGGAACCGTGTGGTGTTTTTTGGGGTTGTCTTTTGCTAGGCCGGGGGAAGGGGAAAAGAGAAGTGGCGATCGGTGGTTTGGTAGCGTGAAGAGCTAGGGGACAAGATCTACGTCAGGATCTACCTATATCAGAATCTACTAAGGTCAGGAACTCAAGATCCGCCTGGTTGAGGGTTTACGGGTCACATCAGCAACGGGGCCAGGCTGGACGTTGAAGTCAGGCTACCATATTGGGACGTACACCTCAAACCGTATAACATTGGAGGGTCAGCATTGCATGCAGTTCAGCTTGCATGAAACCCCATGCAACATGCAAGTTGGGGCGTTCGGCGCAAAAACAAAGGTAAAGACCGAACTTCCCAACTCACCACCAGCAGCGCAAAAATATTGGATCCCAGCGCCGCGGCCTCCTCCACCGACACCTCGGACGCATCGTCGTAGCCGACCATGCGCACTGGCATGGAGCGCTTCTCCGTCACTTCCTCGTCGCCAGACTGGCTGCTCTTGACCTGGGCAATGCTCTCCAGTCGCGCCTGGGGCATGGGGAACAGCTCCACTGCCACCACGGGCTGCATGGGAGCCTGGGGGGAGGTTGGGGGCCATACACGGCGGCAGTGTGGACGCGTGCACGAGGTATGCGGCAGGAAACCCGGCGCAGCAGCGTAGATGATGACCATAGTGACGTGTGATGGAAAATAACTATATATGTTGTGAGGGTAAAACACCACGACGAGCAGGGCAGCGATCTCCATTCTCTCCTCTCCCGAAGATGAACCAGGAGAGGGAATGTGGGCCAAAAGAGCGTTATCATGCCATTCATCACCCGTCATACATCACATTTTTTAACACTTTCCCTTCACCCCCGGGGCCCCCCGCCCGCACCACAGGCGTTCTTTTGCCACCCCACGCTCCCCCCTTACCTGCGAGTTCAGGCACGCCAGCTGCATCTCGTACAACACCTTGGACATCTCCGAGGGGGTGTTGAGCGGGTTCTCCACGAGGCCGCCACACAACAGAAAGATGGGCACCTCGCTCTTGGCCATGGCGCCAGCGGTGCGCAGAGCCTAGGCGGGAAAATGGCGGGAGGAGGATGCGGAAAGTCAGACGATGGGTGAGATATATGGAGGAGTCGGTTGGAGTCGATTGGAGTGGAGTGGAATGGAGTGGTGTGGAGAGGGGGGCTCACAAAGAAACAATCACAGCCCTAGCAGCAGAAGCAGCAGCAGCAGCAGCAGTGCGGCAGAGGTGGCAGAGGATCAGCAAGAGCAAGCGCAATGACAGGCAGGTGGCTCCTCAAGGCGACGCCAACAGCATGGCGCAGCAGGGCTAAGTTATTGTGGGGCTATTACTGTGCATGGGAAGCCGGACAAACAGAGACCCGCACAGGCCAGGAGACCCGAAAACAGCCCCCGCAATACAAGCCAAAACACCCATCCAGGATATCCTCCAACGCCAGATCGCCTCAACCCCCAAGCCCCGCCTTACCTTGACCATATTGAACCCTGGGGCCGTGGGCATCTTGTACTTGATGTCCTCGTACCAGGGAAGCAGCCGCTTGCCCAGGTTGTGCGACACGGTCCCCAGCGCCGAGCGCCAGCACTCAATCACCTCCCGGCTGCACAGCAAGATGTTGAATCGCGGCCGCGGCGCCCCCATGGGCGTTTCCGAGGCCCAGTAGTCGAACATTTTTGAGAGTTGCTCAAGGATGAATGACACGCCGGAGAAGGGCTGCGCGGTGGAGACGTCGATGATGAAGACGCCGCCGCAGAACGAATCCACCACCTGGTGCCCCAGCAGGAAGCGGCCCTCCTCACAGCGCCCCTCGTTGAGCATGCGGACCTGCGGAGGGAGCGTGCGGAGCGAATGGTGGGGTTGGTGGGGTTGTTGGGGAGGAGGGCGGCAGGGGAGCGGCGGGGTGTGGGGGATGGGGAACGCGGAGGATGGGGAAGGCGCGGACTAAATCTACGACGGCGGACAGCACTCACAGACACAGGAGATGGAGGTCGTTGTGCTTGCAGGCTAGCACATGCGTCAGCAATCCCATGAGCCGAGAGAAGCTTAGAAAATCATTTCCTGTCCTCCCCCCTTTTCCCCTTTTTTTCTCTCTCCTCTCCCAGACATATTGCTTGCCTTCTCCAGGTGCTGCTCCATGTATTCCAGGCTGACCGCCACCGAATCAATCAGCGGAATGAGATCCCGGTACAAACCATCCGACATGGTGACGTGCACGCCACCGCCGTTGGGAAGCCACCAGGTGAAGAAGGGCGACCTGCGGCTCGGGCCAAAGGAGGGAAAGGGTGCGGATGGCAGTGACATGGGTGGGCCCGGACCGCAGCAGGACGCGGCGGCAGGTGGAGCGGAGCGGGATGTGTGTGTGTGTGTGTGTGTCAAGACGTTCCGGAAGAAGGTCGGCGTGACGACAAACGCGACGAGCGGGAAGACAAGGTGTTGCGTAAGCTGGTGACGCCGCCGCTTGGAAGCCCATCACGGGCCCGCCAGCACCTTCTACCTCTAGGCATAACAGACATACACGCTCTCTCGCGTGTTCGTCTACTTTTTGCGGCGGCGGCGGCTTATCAGGGTACAAAGACATACATATGGATGTGCGACCGTCTGCACACGAAACCCACTTGCAGTACACGGCCTCCGAGTTGCTCATGATGACGTGCGTGCGGGCGAAGCGGTCCGGCACGTAGCGCCGTACTGCCGGGCCCTCAGGCCGCGGCGGCGGTCGGCTCTCGAATACCCATCTCGCTGACAGCTCCCGCCGCGACATGAGCCGCGACTTGTACAGCAACCCGCCCGGGCCGCGCTGCAGCGGCCCAGGTGCGCCGTCCACCGACATGCCGCCACCGAGCCGGCTGGCGGCGTCATCGCCACCGCCCGTGGTGGCTCCGGAGCGAGACCAGCCCGAAGAAAAGCCCACACCAAAGCCAGCCTGGTGACGAAATTTGGTAATCATTAACCAGCGCACCAGGTTAGTGGTCCCGGGTAGCCACGCAGGACAAGGCACAGGTCAAAGTTACTAGCATGTAAATGGGAAAAAAATAATTTTGCAACGCGGTCGGAATCATGATTTGAGGCGAACTCTTATTTGATCTTCGCCCTCCTTAATTGAATGTCATCTATGTTCCCGGCCAAACAGGGCACGTACATGCACACGCACATGCACACAGACGCACACACGTAGCTGCACGCGGACATGCACCCTTACCTGCGGCACGTCGCCCATGTACCGCGGCGTGGGCGGCGCCTCCGCCAGCAGCAGCGGATTGGTGTCTGGCGGGCGCTCAACGCCGCTGCAGGCCTTGCAGTGGCCCCCCGCCACGTGGGGGAAGGAGCCCCAGCGCGTCAGGAACTGCAACAGCCGCGTGCGCTCCAGGGGCAGGTAGGACGCATCCGAGAGGCGCAGCTGCTGCCAGGCCAGGTCATTGATATCTTCCCCACTGTCGTTGGGATCAAACTGCATCGCCGACATGGTGCGGTGAAGTACCCGGGAGCCGTCCGGCAATACCGACTCGCACTCATACAAGCCGCCGTCGGCACCGCCGCCGCCAGGCGCGCCGAGGAAGCTGCCGCCTTCGCCGCCATCAGGGCCGCCGCCGCCGCCGCCGCCGCCAAAGAACATCCGGTGGCGGGCGGCGGCGGCAGCGGCGGCGCCACCAGCGCTGTTGAAGTTGAAGTTGAGCTGCAGCCGTGGCGTCCATGCATGTTTGGGCCCGCCGATGAAGAAGCTGGTGCCGCCAGCGCCATTGAACTGACCGACGATGCCTGTGACAGAGCCGTCCCCGGTCATGCCGCCCTCCCAGCGCTCCTGGCCGTCGTTTGCCGCGGGCCGCAGCAGCTTCATCTCCTGGTGGGCGTGTGCCAGCATGCGCTCCTGAGGCGCGCTGGGTTGAAGGCGCGCCAGCGGGTGGAACGGCAGCCGAGGGACGTTCTGCGGAGCGGGGGGGGAAGATGAGGAAAGGGGTAAAGAGAGGGACAAAGGCGGAGAGGGTGAGGGGTTAGTTAAGCGGAGCGGATATTTTTGGGTTGTCTTGACCGATCCAGGTTGGGAATGCGGTCAGGAACCCGCACGACATCCCTAATCAACAATTATATGACTTTGCAAATTGAAGAAGGCTGGTAGGAATATAGGAATATCTGCAATTTGCATAATGCAGGAGGCGGAGGAGGAGGAGGCGGCCTCAGGAAAACTCGGATACAGGAACCCCAGTTCACGTCATGAGGACGGATCGCCCCGCCCCACCCCGGCCAAACCCCCGGCCAAACCCATCGCAAGCCCCCAATTTCGCCGCGTCCCTGCACACCTCCTCGTCCCAAAAGGTGGGCAGCGCATTGTCACGGTCGAGCCAGAAACGGAAGGCGTTGCCGTCGCGGGGGAGGTAGAAGCGGAACTCCGGGGGGCCGACGTGGCCCGTGCAGCGGCCCTTGAGCATCTGGCTGCGCGGATCGTACGGCCAGGCTGGGAAAATCTGCACCGCCACCTCGCAATCTGTGGGACACAACGAAAAGGGAGCGCGTGGCCACAAGGCAAAGAGGGCTAAAATACATAGGATAGGAATAACGGGAAAAACCACTGCAAGCGAAGCAGTCGTACATACGCACATTGGTGGCTTTCCGGTGAGACTGATAACCACTCGCAGAGACTGGTAGGCTAGAAACAACAAGGCAGCAAAATCAGCAATCATAGCGAAATCCAGGAAATTCACCTCACCAGGGAAACACCTCTAGGAAATGGAAAACGGAAGAATGTCATGATTCCGAAGTGTTAGGAGGAGGAAATAGGTTTATAGAACATTGAGAAGACCCAGCAGAACATAGACCCGTCAGAAGCCATGGAGACCCCTTGAAAGCGCGGGAACGCATGCAGGACGGAGAATTCCGTTGGGAAGTGCGTTGCATGCGGGCACCTTGCGGACTTACGACGCCGTGTCTGGGGCTCCCGGAGGGGCGGCTGTCAGGTAGGGTTGTAGGCTAGCACGCGGTGTTCCCAGCCATGCCGCATACAGACCTGTAACCCATTCAGCTGCAACGCCGCATTCACCAACCCAACCCTCCACACCCACCCGCGTCCAGAATGAGGTCGTCGTTCTCCTCCATGCCGGTGACACTGTCCCACACGATGCGGCCCCAGGGGTCCTGCTCTTCAGGAGCCGGATTGAACACCGCCATCATTTCCTCCTCCGCCGCACGCAGCCTCCGAATCGCTTCCTCCTCATCGTCGTCATCGTCATGCCCGCCGCCAGCGCGGTTCATTACCCGGCCTACGCCGCCGGCAAACACGCCGAACACGCCGCTGTAGCCGCCCCCCAAAATGGTGGCAGCGGTGGCGGCGGCGGCGCCGACGGTGGCACCACCACCGGCAAAGGGCGGCTCACGAATCCGCACGGACGTCGCACCGACGGCTGGCGGACTGAGGCCACTATCCGCGGCCGCATTGCCAGCTGGCTCGGGTACGGCCAGGGACAAACCGTGTGCAGACCGGTGCACCGACCCGGCAGCGCTAGCGGCGCCGCGGCTGCTGCTGGCACCACGGAGCCCAGACGCCGGCGACGCCGGGCCCTCCGGGCTGCCTCGCCCGCCAACCGTAGACTGCTCCAACACCGACTCCACCTCCTCCGCCTCCGGGTCAGCCGCCGCAATCGCCAGCGCCGACGCCCGCGCCAACATCTTCTTCTCCCTCGCCATCACCATCGCATCCAGCCGTTCCTGCTGCTGCCGCATCACCGCCTTGAGTTGACCCAACAGGTCCTCCAGCTGCGCGCGTTGCGGCGCAAGCACGTCGCTGCCGCCGCCAGCAGCGTCCGTACTCGCTGCTTGCAGCTTACTCTCAAGGTCCTCAATCTGCGCCATGGTACCTCGGTGCTGCTCACGTAACAGGCGGATGGAGGATGACTCCCGGGAGGGCGTCGGCGCATCAGCGGCGCCGCCGCCGCCGGGCGTGGTAATAGCAGTGAGAGCCGGGCTTGGTAACTCGCCAATCGGCAGCTCCACAGCCCCCGCCAGCTCATCAGGGTCGAGGGGGTCCACACCCACCGATGCGGCCACCGAGGGGGGTGCACGGACAGAGGGCGAGACGACCGAGGCCGCCTGACTGCGTGTGTGGCTGCTGCGGGAGACGGAGACGCGCAGGGAGCGTGTGCCGCCGCGGGATGGCCCCCCAGCACCAGCCATATCGGGAGGGGGAGGCCCAAAGGGACGCACCATGATGCGAAAGCGCACTCCATGGACCTCCTCAAAGGTGCACGTGTCATGACAGGATACCTGTGGACAGTTAGTGGTTAGGTAGTTAGTAGGTTAATGGTTTCGCGCTTTTTGGCAGCTTGGCGACTTGGAAGTAGGCCGTAAGCAAACGTGCTTCCGTTTCAGCGGGGGGCTTTGACTCTTAAGTCAGAAGGTCGCACACATGAGGAGCACACGCGACACGCAATCACCCTCACCTTGATTTTTGGCCGTGGCGGCGCCTTGAACACGACGCTTTGTTTGTCATACGTCACCACGTAGATCGAGTTCTTGCCGCGCGACATGACCAGACTGGGCATGTGATGCGTGCGGGGTGTACGCGTCACCTCCACCTTGATGACTCTACCAGCACGGCGGCAAAAGGGCGCGTTGATGGCGCCCTCGGGGCCTGTCGTCTCCACCGCGAAGGGCTCCATCTGAGACGTGTCGATGGCGTCCAACATGTCCATATCTAGCAGGTGACGTGACTTGCGGGTGCCATCACGTGGCATGTCCGTGTAGTCCGTCACGTCATAGGCCTACGTTTACCGCACAGGGATAGGGGTACACGCGCGCGTTCGTTTTGATAATCTGCGCCGTGATGACAAGAGCTACCCATGTGCATGTGTGTGTCATGCGTTTGTTTACATACCGGAAACCTGCGCCCGTCGCAGTACTAGCATATAGTATGTTAGCAGCCCAATACATCAAAAAATACATGGTATGCATACATGGTATCCATACAGGACATCACCAAGAGGACAATGTGGCAGGTCGTCAGACAAGGGCATCTCATCCCCTCTTTTTTCCCATCCTGGATTCCGAAGTGACTCAGCACCACAAGGGCGAACACGCCAAGAGGCGCCAAGGCAGAGGTCCGGGGCAATACGTGCCCTGATGCCGCTCCTCCCTCTGTCCCTCACCCTCAGCTCAAAGCCCGGGACGCCCTCGTTCGTGTTGCTGTCCAGCACCACGGCAGCTGTGCGGGTGATCCGCTCGAGCTGGATGCCCACAAACTGCTCCGCCATGGTCGTCAGCTTCACCTCCCGACTGGCGTCAGTGTCCTCAAAGTCCGAAGTGTTAACGGCGCGCTGAGGATACGCAAGGAATGTAGCATGGACCGATAGCGGGGGGGGGCGGGAAAAACACACGTCAGGGGGGGGGTTGCAACAAATGCAAAGGTGAGGGTTACGCCAGTGAAGCACCGAAGGGAGAGGGTGGAGGGCCATCAAGGCAGCCCCCGGTGACCGTCGGCAGGCGGGTGAAGGCGGGGCGGGGTCGAGAGCGGAGCAGCATAGGGGACGCAGCGGAGATGGGAAAGAGGGGAGAAGCATCAGTCTCACACGGCGGGGAAAGAAGTTCATCATTTTGCTTTAGTGAGAAGGTTATCGTGGCTGTAGGGTCCGACCCCGTCATCCGACTAATAATCGGGGGTGCGCGTTCGACATGACCTACATAGCCCGTTTGCGGAGGAGCCCGCAGCAGTTTACCCACCACGTAAACCCTGGCCTCGGGGGGCATCTCAAAGGTGACCAGCCCCTCCGCATCCGTGAAGCCGCGATACGTCTTGACGGGGCCCTCGTCCGCGGCGGCGCGCTCGCGGTTGCTCTGTACGACACCGACACGAGGCACCCACACAGAAATCACAGGACGATACACACGTATTCACACGAGCGGTGCGTAATGAGCGGGTAATCACCAGCGGGTAAAAAACCCACGTGTAAGCCACATGGTCGTAGCGGGCTATTTGACAAATTGGGCCAGACGTGGAGCAGCAGACCTGCAAGCCACCAATATCGCCAATTTCTGCCCCAAATTCAAACTCCCGGAAACTCCCCCTTATTCAGCCCGAGCCCGAGCCCGAGCCCCTGCCCTTACCTCCCTCCCACCGCGCGCCCCACCTGTACCACATAGTCAATAAGCTGGTCCAGAACCCTGTACGCGTAGGCCTTGGGGTCCTCACACCACTCGGGCTTGAGCACCGGCGGCCGGGGCGCCTGAGGGGGCTCCTGGACCTCCACCACAATCTCCGTATTGGGAATTGGCAGCTGCAGGTGAGGCCAAGGAGGAGGAGGAGGAGGAGGAGGACGGGTCAGGGCGGCAGGGACGCAGGTCGTGAGGGTCAACGCCAGGAGGAGCAACGAGGCGCAACGAGGCGGAAAGCTATAAGCATTGGCAAGGATTTGAGCTCAGGTAGGAACTATCAGGAAATAAATACGAGGTTTGGGTTCTGTGCAGCTCATCGCGGCTCCTGGAAGCCTCTTAGTGAGGAGCCTGCAAAGAAAGGCAGCCGGTATTAAACCGGCCCTAACAGCGACCCTCCGCAGCGTTGTTGTGACCGCTGCTGGCCGTCGCCACCGGCCACCTGCCTTGTCACCACAGCTCTGCTCGTCACCCTCTGCTCGTCACGCGTGCCTCAATTCCATTTCCATCGCCCGTTCGCTCCTTTTTTCTTCTCCCTCTCTGCCCCCAAACGCTCGCAAACGACCCCGGTGCCCCAACCCCCCTCGCGCCACCGCCATGCTGACCTGGTTGTAGCTCTCCCGCACCTCAACCAGCTGCGTCACTTTCTTGATCGCATAAAACACGAAGGGCTCCAGTTCCCAGTTACAAGTGCGGACCTGGAAAAAGGAGATGGGAGAGAGGCAGGGAGAGGCAGAGGAGCTGAGCTGATGTTACAATCGGCAATCCCGCTTAGGGACGTGTCCAAAGGCTTCGCATACAGCATTCACGCCGCACCTGCACCGCGTTGTACTCCAGGAATGGCGACCGCATCTGCACTGACACGCGGTATTTCTCTGCGGATCAGGCGACGGGGCGGGGTGGGGCGGAGTGGCACGGGTTACGTATGGCACGGGTTACGCAGGATTGAGAGCGTGGGTGGGGCCATAATAGGGGTTTTACGGCACCGTCATGCTACCCGTTGAAGCGTTGATCGTGTCGTGGTGCAGCTGTGCTGGTCACTACGATGCGGATCATCTTAATGACAGTGGCGATGCCAACAGCGTTAATGACTGGCGATGACACTGAAGTCCAAACGAGGCAACAGCAGGCCTTCAGAGTGGCACGAGTGCAAAATGATGTCAGACAGGAAAAGCAAAGGACATAGGCCGCCTTCGCCACAAGCAGCCCCCTCTTTCCGCTGACTGCCGCATCACCCCATCACCTCCCACCTCCTCACCTCCCGGTGTCATCCACATCTTCTCCTTCGACCCCCCCAGTGTGCCGCTGTGCAGCACCGTCGCGCTCTCCACCACCTCCTCCAGCTGGGAGGTGTGGGGTTGGGGTTGGGGAATGGGGGCAGCAGGTTAAATGAACGAACGCGAGGCTGCCGGCTTGGCGGAGAGAGGACGGCGCACCACATGACACGGCAACGCAACGCAGGGGAGTTTCACGGCTTAGATTCAAGATTTAGGATAGCACACGGGGTTAGCTTGGTTGGCACGTCACGCTGCTACATGTTACCCTGCCATTCTCCTTCCTTTACCCTTCTCCAAATCCAAATCCAAATCCAAATCCAAATCCAAACCCAAATCCAAATCTAACTCAAGCCCTAAGTGAAGTTCACATCTCCAATGACAAATCCTGCACAGAGGAATTAAGACGGAGCCTATGAATGCGGAACACCACAAAATCACACACGACACCTCAGGTCCTGCTGGCGATGTCGGTCCTACCTTGTACGGATAAACCATCGAGTCATCGTTGCGGCCTCCACCATCACTGCGGCGCGACAAGGCAGTGTGGGAGTAACGGATGAGCTGTGGTCGCGTGCGACAGGGCGGGCGATAGAATGCGGCCATACATTACACGGCCCAAAGCTGCACTGACGACCCAGCAGGGTCAGAAACCTGTCAGAAACGTCAGCCTCGGAGGCGCAACCCCTTTCGCCATTGCCCCCTCTCCTTAGCCCCCCTCTGATGCCCCCGTCTGAAGTACCTATCGAAGTACGACTCCAGGGGGTGCCCATCGTCGTCGTCCATCATGTTATTTCGACGCCTCCGAGAGCGGGCCAGCTGTAACTCATTAGCGCCACCACCTCCTCCTCGCGACCGGCTGTCCTGGGAGCTCCTGACCACGGTGGTGGTGAGGCGCTCAATGGTAAAGCTCAGGCCGTGACTGGCGCCGACCTCCTGTAAGCGGGAGCGGGAGCGAGAGGGGCGCGGGCGGGGGGAGGGGGAAAGACGAACCGGGGGGAGGGGGGAGCAAGATGGATGGGTAAGGGATAAGCACGAGGGATGCGCTCACAAGGGGGGAAAGCAGTGGTCATTTTGAAACGCCGGAAACCCAAGCTAGCTAGAGCTCTTTGCTTTCATCACGTGCCACGTGCCGAATGTTAGCGTAATCTGAAATGGAACTAAAAAGCCGTAGTTTGACCTAAAACTTACAAAGAGTTATTTATAGGTTAGAAAATGATTTGGGGCCAGCGGGCGTCTGGCACGAGAATTATTCTAGCTAAGTTCCATTCCAGAGTTTATCCTATTTGGCATGAGGGGTAATCCATACATACTTCTGTGTCCTGTACCACAAATTAGGACCTCCACGCAGGGAATTGATCTGTCCGGATCGTTTTATCTTGTGTTTTTTCCTTCCCGCCCCGTCCGGTTCCCCCGGCCTCTCCAGGGACCCTCAACGCGCCGCCGCCCGTGAGTCTCGGCGCACACCCCACCTCCAGCGTCGCCATGTCGTACACTGCGATCTGGAACCAGGGCCTGGCGCGGCAGTACAGCTGTACGGGATAATTGGTGTTCCGCATGACAGTGCCGTCACGAGGGTGGATGAACGACTCGTCGGCGGCGTGCATGGTGAAAGGCACTACTGCATTTTGCGCCTGGTTGATTTCCGCAGCCTCGCCGTCACCGCTGTAGGTGTAAAAGATCAGCAACCTGCAGCGGCAAAATCGCACGGTCCGAAATCAGTCCAAAAGCGCGGCTGTGATTTTTCAACGGCCACAAAACCCTAAGTCCAGTCCACATGTAACAAGACAAGAAAACACGGGGTGCACTGCCCAGCACAACACAACACAACACAACACAACACAACACAACACAACACAACACATTAGTCACAGTTATCACCTCCCAGTCCGGCACTTTGGGATCGATCCAGCAGACGAAAAATTCCGCACACCGCGACCCGTGCGCAGGCCCACCGACCCATGGGCCATGGCCACCAGGAGGGGCCCGCCGTCCAGCCCCTCACCCACGGAGGGCCTCACCTGGAGGGGTCCTTCATCTGCAGTTTGTACGGCCCTGGGTCCACATAATTGTGGGTGTTGTTGTCCGTATAAGCCTGCATTTCCGCATCAATCTCCTCGCGGCTGCCCGCGTCCAACGCCATCTCCGCGCCCTCCGCAGTAAAGGCCGTTGCGCCGACGGCTTCACCGCCGACACCGCCGCCGGCAGACTGCTGCAGCAAATTCCGCGACGTCGACTTAGAACGCGACATTGCGCTGGCGGGTCGGCTGAGGCGCGCCGCGGCGCCACTGGCGTGCCAGGATCCCGTGCGCACGGGGCTGACGGGGGCCTCGTCGGCAACGGCGGCACCTGCAGAGCCGTTAGCGGCGGCGGCAGCGCCGCCACCGGTCGAACCTTCGCCGTTATCGGCATTGGACACTGACGGCAGCGTGGGCTCATTCGGATCTACGACACTGCCGCCGTTGGACGCTGCCGCCGCCACCTCCGCCGCATTCTCCAAGAAGCACGACATGATCTGCTCCTTAGACCGGCCCGGGGGCCCTGCCAAGCGCCTGGCGCAGCAACAGGCCCGGGTGCAAGCACAGAGCACAAATTCATCTCCCATGAACCGGACCCCGAGGGTCAGGTCACGTCAAGCAAAAGCACAAGAGAGCACACTTACAACGCACGCAACGATGAAATGGGTTTTACCACGACATTCAGAATAGCATAAGGCTTTCAAGCTCTGAGATAGCTACCCTAAAACCCTAAGAGTTGAATCATAATAACGGGAACAAAGGTTATTAACAGCAAAGCACTGCGTGGAGCATGGTATGGGAAAAACCACCAAGATTAGGTAGTGGGTGAAACGATGTGAAGTGCGGGGATGGCAGGGTCTCAGCAAGACGGCAGGGCGGCGGGAAAAGTACCCCCGCAGCAGAGCAAAGAAAAGGACGGAAAGGAAACCCTCACCCCCGGGGTGGAGACGGCGACCGTGTGGTTCCTCGCGGCGGGTACCTCGCCACGTGAGCCGGGTAGTCGACTTGCTTGCAATAGTCGTCAAACAGGATAAACACGGGCGACTCGGCGTTAGTGCGCAGGTGGTACTTGCGGGCGTACTCCCACCGCCCCACATCGATGGTGGTCCACTCGCGCTGCCCGGGCTTGCGGCCCAATGCGTTGCGCTTTACCCCCGGGGCCCCCGCCCCCGCCACCTACGTGCAAAAGGGTGATTGACAGTTCGTGAAATGGTTAAATTCTGGCTGATTGAAGGGGGGAAGAGGTTCTGAGAAAACGGACGATTAATGACGATTGGATGGGAGCCCGCTGGCTTCTCCCAGTCCTCTAGCAGGCGTGGACACAACTTGGCTTGTGATAGCACGCAAGCACGCTAGGCAACAACGTCCGAAGTTCCGAATGGAAGGATGGGGAATCTGCCGCCACACCCAGTTTTTCTGTGTCCAGCTTTAGCATTTAGATTAAGAGGGCCGCTGCCGCGCCACCCACCAACTTGGGACCGTAGAAGTAGCAGTGACCGGCGTTGTCGGTGCTGTAGACCCCCAGAGTGCACTTCGCCGTTTCCGCGGTGTTCCCCAGCGCGCTGGGCCAACCCATCAGCACGTCGTGGGACCTGCACGACAGCGAAGTTGTGTTCACTAGTTACACGTCCGCGCCGGCTTACTGTGAGCTGTGAAGCGCTGGGACACATGCCCTACTCTTAGAGCCCAAAGGGGACAACCAACCACTTGTGTCCCATGCACGGTGAGGTAGGAAAGGGGAGGCAGGGCAGTAGGCGACGCAACGAACCCCAACCCGGGGTGACCCAAAAGCGCGGCGAGGTCGAGGTCGAGGTCGAGCGAGGCGTCCCTTTGGGCCATGGCATCACCCCTCCCGCTGCTTTAGGGCCTCTTTGTTCGGCGGCGATGGCAGTCGACAATCCAAGCCCAGAGCAGCAGCTGACGCGCTGGTTGCTGCTGGTGCAGGTAACTGTCCGCTACTGCTTGGTACTACATTGCAATGTTGCGGCTGTAGCAATCACAGCTGTTGCAGGATCTGGTATCCGCAAAACAGACGACCGGACGTATAACTTCACGGACGCATTTGGGGCCCGGAGCGGCCCGTTTTCCAGACATCCATCACATCGCCTCCTTGCCAAGAGACAGCTCTAAGATTCCATCCGCATGCCCACACAGCGCGGCTCCGTGCTGCATCTCCTCGCCACGAAAGCCAGTCCTTGCCAAAGAGCGGGCGGCACGGCGTTTGTCTGCTGCCTGATGCCGTTCGCCTGCTAAGCCCGCGGGCCCATGGGCTCTGTTGATTGCAAAACCACGCTCGCAACCAGCTCGCGCCTTACACGCCGGGTTCATCAACTGGAAAGGACTGCTGCTGAATGGACGCGAATTTGGCGCTCGATCGTGGGTTACTTGGGTGGGACTGCATTATATAAGGGGGTATATATCGACTTCCACCGCTTGAAGGAAAGAAAGCATATCGCTGCTGCCCCCACGATGCGGCACTCACGACGCCTGACCCACACCAGCCCCGCCACTCTTGAGAGCACCACTGAGCCCAAAGCATAGCCGCCGCAATTTCGCTGCCGCCATCGCACTTTCCTCATCAAGAGCACCAATACGTCCTGCTGGGAAAGCCCTCGCCGTTGCCCGTTGACCTCCCGCGACGTGCCTTCCAAACCGCAGCATGCTGGGCGCTTGCTCCCGCCTGGCAGACTGAAGCCTTTACCCCCTTTACCCTCCGCCAGCCCCATCCCCACATCCTCCGCGCTGGCGTGCCCCTCCCCCTCCCCCTCTTGACCTGGCAGCAGCTTCAATCGTGTGTGGTTCGTCTTTCCCTCCCCCTCCTCCCGTTCCTGGACTTGGCATGCGCGAACTGTCCTGTTATTGTCCTGAGCAACACAGCCCCCTCACGACCCGTCCTCACTTTCACCCACTCCATCCCGGCCGCTCTCCACTCGCGACACTTACTCGACCGTGGTGGCCACGAAATCCATTTTGATGCCATCGCTGGAGTAGAAGGACACCTTCTGTGGGGGCACCCCAGAACGGACCTCCTGGCGCTGCGGCATTGAGGTCAACGGGTTGACCTGGCCTGCGGTGTCATGCTGCGGCGCCGGACGTGCGTGACGTGCGCGGAGTTTGGGAGGGCGGCAGACAAGGGGTCAATTCGTCAGGACTTGGCAATGGGAGCCGACATAGCCGACATGGGTGAACAACCCATCTGGGTAAACGGAGTCACCCATCTGGGTCACAACGACTGATGTGTGGCCTGCTGTCTGATGGCGAGGCCTGCTGTAGCTAGCCAAACAGACACAGACCCACGTGAGGTCGTGCCAACAGTCTGAACAGCCCCAGCAGCCCGCCTTCACGCCCAAATAATCCCACACGCGCGCTTTCTCCCTCCTCACTCAACACAGGAAGGGCTGCCTGTCGCTGACCTGAGGCCACAAAGCCCGCATCCAAGATAATAAAGTCTCCCAACCGCCTTAACGACCCGCAACAGGAAGGCATGGAGCAAGGAATCGTCCGCGAGCGCGCCTCTCCAGGTCTATGAGCTACCGGAGTATTTTTCCCGGACATTGCTCCACGCGGGCGGGGGCGCGCGGAGGTGTGTGCGGGGGCTCCCCCCGGGTACCTGCTGCTTGCATGCCCACCTGCATCGAGTCATGTTGATGAATGGGCCGCAGCTCCCGCAGTGTAATCACCACGGAGATGCGAACGGGAATCATAGGCACCTCGGCCTTCAGCATCTGTAGAGCCGGCCCATATAGGTTTTAGCAATGTAAAGGGTTGGGACGGGAGACAGCCGGTTCAGACGGGGGGAGAGGGGCACGGCACTGTAAGGATGGGTTTGAGTTCCAGGTGGATTGTCATGGTGGTGAAAAAGATGAATGGATGCAGGTGGTGGTGTAGGTTGCGACTGCAGTGCGGAGATGAGGGACAGCCCTAGGCCGTCGGTACGTCACCGCACTGTCGGTCCTTTTCCCCCCCTGCCCCTTCCTTCCCTCTGTTTCTCGCTGCGGTCCGTGTTTGTTGTCATGCCCCACCCGCCCCATGCCCCCCCCCTGGAGGCCCTGTTCAACGCGTCTGTGCACACCTCAGATTCCTTGGGTGTTAGCAGTAGGCTCTCGCCCATGAGCCCAAAATCATGGTAGCCGCTGGCTGTGGCAGCCACACGGTATGAGTAACCAGCCAGGACCTTGCAAATCACGTAACCGTCTTTGCGCGAGAAGGCGCGGTTTCCGAATGCATTCGACACGGTTTTTGCAACGACCTTCTCAGGATCGTTGGTAGGAATAGCCTTCAAGTGCACCTGTACATTTGACAGGGGCTTGCCTGCACGGCGGTGGCAGCAGCGGTACCCATGGAGTCACAAGTGGGTTGACTACGTCAGGGCAAGGTGCGGAATCCTCCCTACAGTGCGGCGCGATGGGTTCCCATAAGTACATACTGAAATGCACACAGTGCGTGGAGACAAGATATGTCATCTTTGAGGGGCGTAGACAGTTCGCCAAGACCAGGGTACCGGGGGTCGAAGGCTTACGGAGCAGGGCTGGCGATAAACCAACGCCAATTTCTGCATATATAAACCCAGTATACTAATACACAGACCGTATTATCATCAATCTTGCCTGTTGTTTTGTCAACACAAAACAACTTAAGCCGGGCGGTCGGCAGATGCTGGTCGCTGGGCTGAAAAGCAGTCCTACGGCGCCGTCCTGGCGACTTGGATTGACCATGCACAACAATTTTTTGGAAGTCCTGTGTGACGAACCATTAGGGCGAGGGCCGCGGTCGGCATGGTAAGCATTCGGGGACCAGCCAAGATAAACTTAGACAGCGGAATTTGCCTGTGGAATGGAGTCCTGTAGCCCAGCAAGTGAAATAGAGGCCAGCTCCTTCACTGTCACATTCGGATGCGGAGGTGGAGGGGGCGGTTCCTCAATAGCTGTTCCCTCCTCCATCCTTCCTTAACAACCTACTCCCTTATAACTGGTAGGGCCAGATACCAGGTTTAGGAAAAGACTAGGATGAATGACATCGCCGGAAGCAAGTTGGCGCGGTGTGCGCAAATGCCGCAAAGAAACGCTACCTAGCAACTCAACTCAAAATCTCATCCAGGTTCCATATGGTTTCTTCCCATAATGGATGATGATGCCGCTTGCTCCGTCGTTAGCAGCCAGCGTTTGCGGACACGCTCGAAGTCCGTACACTATCCGAGCTGCCGTACCTTTGGGCTTCAGCGCTTTGTCACATTCCTTACTTGATACATAACGCACTCATTTAATGAAGCACATTTGTTTTACTTTCTAAAAAGGTTTATAAATGCAATTTGCGCCACTTTGCACGCCTTGAGTTACCATAGACAAAACGTCAAACATGGTAAAACTGCCAATCACAGTTTCATTTGCATAATGCAATTATGCTCCTGCCTTAATCTGATGATACGCGAAGCGATGCATTACGGGCGAGGTACGCGATAGACAGGGTTACGGACATGTAGGGTTGTCCAGAGAAAGGGCACAGGAGGCCTAAGGCAAGGCCCATATATCATATTTTGTTACGATATATATTTTCAAACGAACTTCTCCGCTTGTCTGCTGCTACGGACTAAAGACCAGCGAGGATACTTTGCGGATGCGTGGAGATGCCCTGGCGGCTTTTAACCAGGTGCTATTAACCAGGCCGTGTATTAAGCTCAGGCAATCATATCACTCCTTGTGCCTGTCCCTCAGGCACCTGGGCCGCGTCTGCAGCAGAGGACCTAAAGTTCAACCCAGTTGAAACCGCTCCCTGAGCCTGGAATATGTGGTGCCTGGCCTTCAGATTGTATGACAACAACCTGCTGCACTCTGTGCCGCCGTTATACCATGCGTCCTTCCATCGATGAGAGCTGTACTGTCGATGACGGTATGCAGGGTCACCTGCAGCTCAACTGCGCATTGCCCACCTGCAGCGCTGCGACGCGGGTACTTGAAACAATACATCTGCCTGCAAAGCCTGTGGCCAATAAGCACTTACCATGATACGGCCACCGACTGGTTCGGTACCCAGACCACCACAGCTGCCTTCAGAGATACGCAACTGCGCTGCGCGCACGCAATAGGTTCTCACACAAGGAACAAGGTCATTAATATAAGTAGCGTATTGCATCGTGCAAAATTCTGGAGCCATACCCATGAGGAGCCAGCTTTAACACTGTGTCGAGTGCAGTGCGGTCCGTTAAGACCTTTTGGTCTCACGGTGTAAACAAAATGTTTGTATTGGACACCAAACCGGATCTGCATGCACTGTTGCTGCAATGACATCAGGATGAGATGGTGACCACGTCAGGCATCCAGGATGGTTCGCTGCGATCCATGGTTAAGGCGTGGTACGAGCATGGGTTTCAGGCGACCAGCAGTCTGTGTTTTTGGGGAGAGCTTGTATGCCATAGCGGGCTATGCCGCTAGGCTTTCATTGGGTTCCGGGCTTTACAGCGTCTGCTGCTGAGCTTCTGGGGGTCTAAGGACCTGGCCCTTCCCTGCAATACGTCCCAAAGATGGGCACTCGAAGGAGAACCCAATACATGGAGAAAGTAACGGACTACGTCTCAAAACATCCTCTTGCTCTCCACACCAGTTAACACGGCAGCATCCCTCTTTCCCTCCCTCCTTCCCTTCCTTCATCCCTCCATACACCCTCCCTACCTCCATATGTGTGTTGGTCCATACATACGCACACACCTACATACAAAGGTCAGGCACTACGGTAAAGCACAAAACGATGCCTGGGAGATCTCGGGATCGAGACCTGTCAGGGTTGTAACTCTTTACGTGGTGGAAGGTAACATTACACCTAGCCGATGGATGGTGGTGCCCTGATGTAAACTGCACCTGCGGGCTGATCAGTAACGGAGTTAACCCGCAGTTGATCCGGCAGATTCCGGTGGATGCCGGTGGTTTTTGCTGAACCTGAGCGATCCACTGAGAAGTCAACTAGGGTGACTGGATGAGGGTGCTCTGAAATACCAGGGTCTCGACGGGTTGCGGCCACGAGTGACGTTATGCCCCTGGTATGTCAAGGGCCCCTGTCCCACACACCATCCCTCCTTGCATTAATCCACCCCTCCATCCGTCTATACATCCCGCCCTTCGTACATCCCTCCCTCCACTTATGGCATAACAACCGAGCATATAACTATAACCCAACCAGTCGCTTTGGTAGGGTGACCGACATTTCGAGATAAAGACCCGGTAAACGACCAGGAACGGTCGGTTACCTTACCGACCGGTAACCTTATCGGTCAGTGAACCCCCAGTTACTGGGTCGTTAGCTCGTTATGTCGGTTACCCTACCGGCTAGGTACCCAAGCGACCGGTTTCCGACCGGTTTGGTAGGGTTACCGACTGTGCAGCTTGTCGCCAGGCTTGCAGCGGCATACAGAACAGCAGATTCTGTAAAAGCTACAACCTTCTAGTTGTTTTTTCCAGAATGCAAATTTCCGCGCGAGCATGGTGAACAAGGTCCTCTAGCGTATTTTCTTTGTACAGCAAGTCGCAATCATAAAATGATAGTTTTTCAAATGTTATGAAGCTCTTCATAAAGACTAGTGGCTATGAATGTTAGGGGTGCTCGGCATGTCACCCCAAGGTGAAATGACGAGCATTGGAGCCTAAAACTGCGTATGAGCTTGGTCCATAGTTTTAAGGTCTATCTCGGTAAAGCATATAATATAAAGATGTATATATGGGCAGCCTTATTTGGAGAAGTTTCATCTGTCAGCGTGCACCAGCCTGCACAGTTGCACGCATCAACTCGGCAGGCAGGTCTGGTCGCTTCACTGAACCAGGTGTAGACACTTCTTATGCATGGTTAGGAACTTTCCATAACATCCCATGACACGGCGCAGACGTGGCTGTTCGGCGTTTTTACGTCGTTGGGGAAAGGGTCTCCATTTCGACACTCTTCGACTTCGGGCTTCACAAGCTGTTTCAGAGTTAAGCGTGGAGAAAATCGCAAATTTGTTCCAGGGCTTTTTTTGAGGGTGACCCGAAATCATCAGGCACGAATTATATGTGGGACTACGGTATTACATGTTTGCCTACCAAGATAGCGTCGACTCTACATACGCCCAATGAAGAAATTCAAATAGCATATCACGTGGGGGCGGCCGAGGTGAACTCAGCATGGGGGGCGTTGATGGAACAGCGGGCGGGCACGTTCTGTGATCTGCCACAGCAAAGCAAGGTCAGCAGCAGCCAAGACAACGGAGCTTTGGACGGCCAAGCCTGCAGACGGGACGCCCTAATTACACTTGGTCCTGCAGACCTAGCACGTTACTTTTCTAAAGAAGCAAGTGCAAGTCCGCCTAAGCGATATCCGGCAGACAACCAGCCAGTCCGACAAATGTCCTGCATGGATTAATTCAGCTATGTCGGTACTGTAAGTTATGACACCGACACGACGCGTAAGTTTGCGTTATCACGCCAGAACCTCCCCCACACACAAAGAACCAATCCAATGTGGCAGCGAATCCCAATAATGCGCATCTCGCGGTTAAGTATGTCGGCTAAGGTAAGCGTTCTTTATAACCGCGTAATTAACCGCACATTGAAAGATAAGCCACATCCGATCATCGTAATTATTTCCGGCAGCCGTAAAATAACGAACTCCTAGCTACTGCGAATCCAGACTGCAACTGTTCAGACAGTACATGCAGGTCGAGGTGGGCGATTGAAAGGATGGGCCCATGCCTGTCTGGCACCAGGAGACGCCATGTGTGTTTCATGAAGTAATGCATGATAATGGGCCATGAATAAGGGGGACGTTTTATGTATACCTCATATTCAACAATATATTTAAGAATTGTTGTTAAGAGCAGCAAGTCAGCAGCAGTTACGAACCAGGCAGCTGATGGCCAATGTAACACAGCAACGGCGTAACCCGGGGTGCTCAGATTGGCATTTACGTCGTTACATTGCCCCCCACTTAGCAATGGACGTCCTCGGCCATCATTTCGAGCACAGGAGCCATCCCACCTCGCGCCAGTGCGCTGGTTTATCCATTTTACCATAAAATCGCCAATTTACGATCTGCTGGATGCCTGATCCAAACCGCCGACCCGAAGTTTATTACGGAAGTCTTCTGGTCTCAATACCATTGTAACACAGCAAAGGCGTAACCCGGGATGATCAGATAGGCATCTACGTTATTACAGCCAAGGTCGCGGACGCATTATCATGATTTTCACATTATGCGTATGTACACACAGATCTACCCTCCTTTGCCAACTCCATAGCTCTATCCCTCACCCCGTCGGGTGCTTTATCACCTCCAGCCTACTTCTCATGGCGCTATAAAGCTGTTCGGTGCGAAGGGAGAGGTGGTGTAGTAGCTGGCGTATGGCTCATCCACACACACACCGCCACCAGATGGGCCAATATGTGAGCAGTGGATCTGCGGCGCGAATCTTACCAGGCTCGCGTGCACAAAGCGACAGGCCACGGAGTTGGCTTGTGTTCGCAGTGGATTGAATAGCGGGATTGATGCCAGGAAACCCATACAAGATGGGATGTCGGTGTAGCGCTCAAGGCCAGGTGCGGAGCAGAAGCGTGCTGAGGACTCGCAGACACCATTCAGAAGAATGGCACCAACCTCCGGGTTTTGCGCAAGTAAGGTGTCAACTTGCATTGCTGGCATGAACTCCACGTAACGCGCCACATTGAAATCTGCCGATTCAATGCGGTTGAAATCATTGAAACGGAACCTGCACCACCAGTGAGTGAGCAGCAGTCCAGTAGGATTCAACACACACACACACACACATACATGACGTGGGACGTCTTCTGGAGCACATACATATGGACATTGGCCTTTTGTTAATGACAAGGATCACACATGTTAAGGGCCTGCGGCAGCATACATGGGACGCGGACCAAAGTGCCCAGATGAAAAACATAATAATGAAGCTTTGGACTTAGGACCTAGACAGGGAGGCAAGGACCTAAGCAGTGCATACGTACCACTGCTCTACAGTTAAGTTGGCAGTCGTTCCAGTGTACCCGTTGATGAAGAGGTAGTCGATGGTCGCCACTGCTACTGGCCGCAGCGCTGTAAAGCGACGAACCACGAAGGAGACAGGCTTAAGGATGTTGCCAAGCCTGCAAAGCGATTCCAGGACGGAGGCATGTCCCCTTCATCATCGGTGTTGTTGATGATGTTGTTGTTGATACAGACAAAATGCCCAACATACGTTCATCCAAGTCCTGCTGCACTGTCCTCAGCATTCCATGCTATCCCGCCATGGTGGTGCATCTGTTCTCCAACGTCCACTGCCATTATTTATCAAAACCATGCGCATCCAAAATAAACCGACGGGCAAAAAGATGGTCACGGTTGCATTTTGCGGTGCTGTTGTCCACCAGTACCAAGTGCCATGATTGTAAAGGACAGTGTTGCAGGGCAATAATTGACGAGTTGCCCCCCATTTTGACGATCCCGATGGTTCCAGGCCACTGCACCAGCTCAACATCATCCAGAGGGATGCCAACACGCGAGCAAAGGACCAACAATACAAGTTACAAGTCCCGCACAGATGGGGGGCCCATCCATAAAAGCCTGAAGGGGGCTCCTTAGACGGCCAATGGCCATTATTGTGGTGCCAAGTGAGGATGTTGACATCCTCTCCCGCTCGCTTGCTGGGCTCGGCATTGTGAGCCACACCCACCGTGCTCCCGTATCATGAGATGCACCCATCCAGTTTAGATATCGATAACCCCCTCCAGTGACTCCGGCGGAAAACCCCGTGGTTTAGCTAGAGTGTAACCACACGTCCATCTCGCTTAGAACTGCTTAGAAAAATAGCATTGGATCTCAACGCTGAAGAGTTTAACGGTAGCATAATTAGCCCTGTAGGCGTTCATGGGCTAACACACCCATATTAGCCAGGAAGGCAAAGGCCTTTCCTGATCAACAGGCACTGATACCATCAACCGCCAACTCTAAGACTTGAAACGAAACCCCGGTGGCACTTCGTCCCGGGCTTTTTCAACATGGGGTTCCAGGAAAACCAGGTTAGCGAGATGGAGCTGCAGTGGTGCCTGAGGCAGCGAACAGTAGCAGATATTCTGTAATGTTACAGAGTGGGAGGCTTCTGGGTCGCTTTATCACATTGTCAATTCTACGATTTATCACCTTATAGCACCATCCACCACACTGTACTACGCCATACGAACTGTAAATCCAAGGCTGTGGATCCAGACTTCAGGGATCCCTCCGCATCCATTCACCCGAACATCCGAAGAGACGGAGGGTTCGGCAATCGCCACCAATCCAGTGTGCGAATCTGGTCCATCAACTGTGACCTCAACTCCACATCTCAGCAGCTAGCCATAATCTCGCGCTCCCGACTAATTCGGGGGTCTCCCCAGGAATCGAGCTCAGGAGGTAGTGTTAGTGTACCAGACGTATCCACTGGGCCTTTCGTCTTTTCGTGTACCGGGCTCCTTTGCGCGAGTTTTTCAGAGAGTCTGTACTTACTGCTACTGTTATTACAGCGTCGGTGTTAGTATTCACCCAAGTATATGCATGAATATATGGTGGGAGGTGCATAATTTGCTCAATTATAATGTTTTATTCATAAACAAGTATCTTTACCAGGAGTTCACGTTTATTTATGTTCAGGTCGTCATATCGGGTGCCCGGCGGGATGCGATTGTTTAGGTGGACCCCGAACGGGTCGAGTGCAGCGCCCCTATAGGCGTTCCTAGCTAGGAACGCCTCCCGCACAACACTGTGGGCCTTATTCAAAAAGAACTCGGCCAGGCCGTACTAACTTCACTGGACACAAGGCCTCAGTTAGTACGCTTATACAGAAAAAATGAGGCTCCGACGTGCGCCCTCAGACTTCGTCATTGTACATCGGTAAACAAACGGCAAACAACCATGTCTGCGTCGTTGACATATAAGAAAGGGTGGTTGTGAGGTATATGTTCCCAATGTGTTGGCAAGTAGTCCCGTGCAGGGGTCGGCAAACGCCGCTGGTACAGCGGGTCCTTCCGTTGTACCCGTTGCAGAATTGCTTAAACGTCATCGCGTGATCCGTACTCACTACTAACTTATTGTGGGGAAGGCCATTGCGTCTGCGACCACACTCCCGCGGTACCCAAACCCTTCAAAGACAATTCCGATCAGCCATTTGGCTGTTAGTGGGAGGGCGGGTGGGCCGCTCGCACGGCAATCGAGTAGAGAGTACGAAAATAACCTAATGCAGTCATCGACAGCAGAAAACGTAAGCCTCCAGCCTCATGCCGACTCTCTTACCTACCATTCATATTCTCTACCTCGTTCCCAAGACTCCGCCGCGTTGCCTCTAGTTCGGCTCGTGCCACAGGTAACTTCGCTCGTCGCTACTTTGCCATTCACCTTCGCCTCCACCCAGCCTCTGCTTCTCCACAGAAGCGGCGACCTCCTTCGCCGTTGTTACGCCTCGTCTATGCGAATCCTCCTCATCCGACTGTGTCTTCTGCCTACCCGGTGCGCGCCCCCTCTCTCTGCGCATCCTTTTCTCTGGCCCTCTCTTACGGTTGCCTACCTTACTGCAGGACTCGCCCCTTGCCTGTCCGGTGCCGGGCAGGCTTTCCTTGCCTTCCCCGGCCCTACTTGGGGCGCCCCTCCTCGGCTCGTCAACTACCTTACTTCCGTCCGTTCCTGCCCCTCGGGGGCCCAACCCCTCCGCCCTTTCCGTGGGCCCGACGCCCGCTCTGGACTTATCTCACGCCCCCGGCTCTCCGATGCTGCCCCCCG